TTTCGACAAGCACTTACACTTTCTTTTTTCTTTTCCAGGGCGGCTGGAAAAGAACGATGCAGTTTACGAAGAGTCGAAATTTTCGTTGTTACTTTTTCTTTTTTACTATGTTGTACCTCGGTTCCATATAGTAAGGAAAGACGACCAGACGCTGCTAATCCTAGCACGCTATCAGAAGAGTGTTTACCAACGACAAACTCGCTGGGTTTAAACTTCTGGCTGGCCACGTCTTAGGGTCATCACTAACCCACTAGGGGGGGAGTGATCTGTAGCGGTAAATAAATCCCTAAAATAAATAGCCCTGTAAGTTTTCGACATTGGATGCTGACCATATGTTTCAGTGGACTCATCTAGCTGAAGGCGCTCGGTCATGCATCCGCACCAGATCACGTGTAGTAACGCCCTGCTCAACATCAACCGCAATCGCTAGCCAGATTAGATCAGAGAATTCCGATATATTGGTAATCGCCAAATACACTCTTCCGATCTCCTCGACTCTGTCTTTTGATTTCTCTGGGTGTGAACGAATTATATTAGAAGGTGTTACTGGTAAAAGCGTTTTCAGACACTGAATACCTGTATCATCCTCATTACTTACATTTCTCTTTTTTGTCGTTAAGTATACCTAGGCTCCTACCCAGAAGCTTCAGTGGTCCACTACTGATAGATATGGAAGCTCGTTCAGCAAAAGCACTTTTTTTATTCCAGGCAGAACCATTTGAACCATATACTGAAAACATTAACTCCTCTCACTTTTTTCACATACTACAACATTTTCTGATTTATGCTCTAACTAATAGCTTTGACTCTTCACCGCATGTTTCTAAATTCAGGGAATTGTTTCTTAACACTGTATCAAAAGTGTAAAATAATTACTTAGTTTCAAAGGGGGGGGGTTCAAAAGGGGTTTCAAAAAGGGCAGTGATTTTTGTACTTGTTGTGATTATACTTGCTTTGGGTACTTATTGCACCAAAAAGCATTCTTGGTCTACTTTAACTAAAAGTATCTTGGTTAAAGTTTGAAATTTTTTGCTAAATTTTATCCTGAGTACCATTTTTAAGTCCTTCACTAACACCTGTGTTCACTTTGTGATCATTTTGTGTTTTTAAACCTTCAAATCTAATTACAATGGTTGGTAAGACTCACAAATGTGGGCAACCAAATTGTTTGTTCCCCGTTGAGGAGGGAATGCAGTGTGACGACTGTAATAAGTGGTGCCACAAAATGTGTACACGCCTACGTCCGATGGCATACAAAAGATGCTCGAAGCCTAACTCACATTGGCTTTGTATGTTCTGCTGTACGGATAAAAAAGTGCTAATTAAGGAGGCTATGGGCCTATTGGCTTTGGCCTGCAAGAAAAACGATGACACATGAGCTGACAACACCGGCACTGACAGTGACGAATGTGTCAGTGTAGTATCTGCTGTTACGCGACGACTCAAACAACCGACTCTGACCGACGCAAAAGTGAGATCTCCCTCATCATTAAAAAAGGGAGTAATGCCACCTGTTACTGACATTGATAACAATGCATCTTTAAGGGAAACCGACGAACTTGATGAAACCATCACCGTTCCAAATAGTCCCAATATCCTGAGGGATGAAAAATGGACTACGGTACGTAGGAAACGAAACGAAAGGAAAAAAACTGTAGGTAGTACACAGGTAATTAGTAACTCACTGATGGACTCTCATTGTGAGTCACAGACTGCTCTACCAAAATCTGATGGTAAGAGTGAAACCCATCCTGACGTGACTAAGAAGAAAAATCGAATAACAGCTAAAACTAATGACTGTTTACTTGAAAAGTCCTTGGTGGACTCTCAGACCAATCCGCCAAAGCTCCAAAGAAAAGCTTCGTCTAACACTGTTGTGAGTCACTCACAGGAGTCTGTTACAATAAAAGCTAATCGTAAGATACCAGTAGTTAATATACAGGATCTATCGTCACGGTCGAAAGCTGTTAACACAGTTTCAAAGGAAGCTAAACCCCTTCCTAGTTTAATTATTTGGAATCTAGAGGAGTTGAAAGATAACGACCCTTCTAGAAGACATGCACATGACCTGCAGTTAGTGGAATCTGTGGTAAGAAATGTACTACCTGAAGAGGTTTCAGGGGTACATATTACAAAAGTAATACGACTTGGTAAATGGGTTGGAGGCGAGACCCAACAAAGAAGAATCCTGAAGCTGGTTCTCGGGAGTTTTGAAGAAAGAGACATATTATTGAAAAGCGCACTAAAAACTCGTGCCTCAAATATCCGTATTCGACCAGATTGGCCGCTTGAGGATCGAATCAAGTGGAAGAATGCTCTTACGGAGTTGAGGACTCGCAAATTAAATGGCGAAAATAACCTTACCATTAAGGGTTTTCGGGTAGTCAGGTTTTGGAAGCCAATGCTTCCGAGGCCTGTATGGGTAGAACGATTGATTTCCAAAACACCTTAAGTGTGTGCTACACGAACGCTCGTAGTCTTAGAAATAAAACGTCCGAGCTAAGTCTGATGGTGCAAGAATTATGTCCCGATATAATCGTTGTTACAGAAACTTGGTTCACCGTTGATATAGACTGTTCTCCTTTCATTGCTGGTTATATCTGTATCAGGAGTGATAGGGTTTCAAGTCGCAAAGGGGGAGGTATAATATTATACGTTAGGGATCACTTTCGTATACAATCATCCATATCGGAGGCTCATATCAGTGGCACATGTGAGGTTGCATGTTGTAAGATTAAATCTAGAAGTGGGTTAGTGACTATAGGGGGAATATACCGTAGTCCGTTTTGTCTTTCTGACGACTTTATCCTAAGACACATCTGTTCTTGGAGTATGGCAGAATGTTGTTTCATCATTGGGGACTTCAACGCACCGCATATCAACTGGATAGAGCTTACAGCTCCAGGTAGTGGTTTCGATAGCGACCTTTTATCTACAGCTATTCAGTGTGCACTTGTACAATGTATCACAAAACCGACACATATTGATTTCAATCATGATCCGTCACTGCTGGACCTCGCCCTCACCTGCCACTGTGAGGATGTTTTTGATATTCAGCACCTTCTCCCACTAGTGAACAGTGATCACGTTGTAATTCACTTTAAGTTTAGGACACATGGTATACAATTTGTATCTGCTCCACCCCGTCCCAATATTTGGCGAGCCAATATTCCGGCGATCAGAAACTGTGCTATCTCGACTGATTGGTCGGTCGACGTGAATGGATTGATCGAAGATGAATGGAATAAGTTTAAGGCTACATTGGAGTCCGTAACGTCGCCGTTTATCCCATGGTCAGCACGTAAGCTATCACATTGCCCTCCATGGATTAAAAAGGGAACCCGGAAGCTGTTAAAGCGTAGGAAACATTTCTGGGACTTATTCTTGTTGACAGGTCATGCAACATTTAAGCGTGAGTACCGAAAATTCCGTAATCTCTGTAAGAAAACCATTGCCAAATCCCGTACCACTTACGAACGACAGTTAGTATATGACATCCGTACTTGTCCGAAACGATTGTTTTCGTATGTTAAACGGCGAACGAAACGTAGTGATGGTATTCCCTCGTTACTGTCACACGAAAATTCAGAATTACTAGCTGAATCAGATCGAGCAAAAGCTGAGACTTTTTCAAACTATTTTAGCGAAGTCTTCTCTATGTTTATTGTAACAAATACTTGTTCCACTCACACCGTGATACCAACCATTGAATCTGTACAGGTGACTGAGGAAACTGTCCTTCCGTTGATAACCTGTTAGTCTAACTAGTATAGCCGTTAAGTTACTTGAAAAGATAATTCGGGTTAGGTTGCTAAGCCACATAGATTTACACAATCTGTTAGCTCCTGAGCAACACGGATTTCGTAACAAGCGTTCATGCTTGACTAACTTGCTTATTGCGAGGGAGGATTGGACAGCAGCCCTAGATAACGGTCTGTCTGTCGACGTGATATTCATAGATTTCAGCAAAGCGTTTGACAAGGTTTCACACGTAGGTCTTATGCAGAAGCTCACGACCTTCGGAATAATAGGTACTGTACATGAGTGGATAGGAAATTTCTTATGTGACAGCAGACAGAGAGTGAGGGTTAACGGAACGCCATCCGATTGGAAGCCGGTCAAAAGTGGTGTACCCCAAGGCACCATCTTAGGCCCTCTGCTCTTCCTTCTCTACGTTAATGAGTTACAGCTGTTACTTAGGTCGTCGACATTATTGTTTGCGGATGATGTAAAAATCTGGAGAACAATAAAAAGTGCGGCCGATCATCTGGATCTTCAAGCCGACTTAGATGGATTAGTTACATGGGCTCGAGAGTGGGGCTTAGAAATCAATGCTAGGAAGAGTGTACTAATGCACATCGGTCACGGTAATAGTTACCGTTATACTATTGAGGGTAAACCTCTTCCATGCGTTCAAGAACATAAAGACTTAAGAGTAGTATTAAGTCATGATTTAAAAACAACTACGCATTGCAAAGCAGCCGCTGTCAAAGGTTTTCGAGCGTTATGGTCACTTCACCGAGCGTTCAAATCTTTTGACGAGGAAACGTTTCGAATTTTATATCCCACCTATGTAAGACCACACTTAGAGTACTGTATCCAAGCAGCTAGCCCATGTCTGGTAAAGGATACTAACTCCCTTGAGCGTGTCCAGCGTGTAGGAACGAAATTAGTGAAGGGTCTTTCTACACTCCCTTACGATGAGCGTTTAAAACGCCTAAATCTTTTCCCCTTGTCGTATCGTAGGACACGAGGTGACCTTATACTGGCATTTTGTATCTTTAATTATGATTTAGGTGTTAATATGTCTTATCTTTTTGCTCCCACCAGCACTAATAATCTCCGCGTTCATAGCAAGAAGGTTCATAAACCAAGATCTAATAAACTTAAAGTGAGGTTCCGTTTTTCTCATCGAGTAGTCAATCATTGGAATGCCTTACCCGAACAAGTGGTATCAGCCCCATCAGTGAATACTTTCAAGGAGAAGCTGGACCTTCACTGGAAAGCAGTGCGTCAGGATTAATACAGGTTCATCAACCTACTATCCTTATTACTGAAGACTGAGGCTTGAACGTTAAATGCATATTGGATATTGAAACTGCAGACATCTGGCGGCGCGGAGTTACTCGTGAGGATGTCGTTGTCAAAGTATATTTCCCCTCCCTTGACTTCCCTCCCACTGTGCTTACCCCGTTATTATGGCGGTGTGATTCTAGTGGGTGTGAGCGCATTCGGGTTAAACATTTACTTCGCCCGGCGAGTTATGCAAGCTCGCAAAGAACACAGCGTTGAGTTGCCTATTATGTACCACCCCACAAACAAAGTATTTAACTGCATCCAAAGAGGTCATCAAAACTAGTATGTCGAACATTGTTTTATGTTGCTTTTCTAGTCTAGAGGTTCTCCCCTTTTTTCTCATGGCGTTGTTCCTGGGTGGTTTGCGTTACCCTGTAGGTCGCCATTTCTCTCATAATTTAAAACTTAGCGGACGTATACTGCGTGTGGTGTAGTATTTCTCCTTGGTCGCCTATTATATTTTCAGGGTTATGCAACCGGAGGTAAGTGATGCTACATTCAAAGTGCTTTATTGTGGGTTACAATTTCAACTTGAGAGTTTATACGCCTTAAATTCTGTATATCGATCAGGAATCCAATCTACTTAATTTCAGGGGAATGGCACAGAAACTGCCAATTGTCACTAAACTTTGGGTTGAACCCCAAAATCGGGAGATCGTCGGATTACTATTACTGGTTTAGTGTGATGTAAGACAGTATATACACATTTTATATTTGTTGTACGTCCCGCGCGTCCATCGGATTAAATTCAATTCTTATGACGAACTCGAGCGACTTGTTGCGTAACACTGAAAACCCATGAACTCTGTGTAACCACTTTAAATCACTGCATAAATGCATAGCTTATAATCTTATTATAGTATTCAAACTCTAGTATTAGGATTAGGTTGCGCAGTTTACGGTTAGGGTTAAAATTATGGTCTCGGACTCACGGTTATGATTAAGATATAAAGTTATAGTTTAGATTAGGTCTTACGCTTACCATGTGTCCCATAACCCTAAACGTTCACTCTAACCCTTAATCTTAAGTTCCAATGTTAACCTGAACCCTAGTCGTAAATGCTAGTCTCCACAGTCCTCTGCTTTCGAAACTACTTAACATTCTTTCATGAGTGAGATCATCCACAAAACAACCGGTAGACATTTTGGTTAATTTATTCACCGTAAACTTGCTCGTTCTGGATAGGGATTTAATTTGAACACAAGCTAGTTGTTGCAATGCCCTGGTATGGCCGAGAGTAGGGTGGGCCCGCCCTCCCTCTCGAAATGCTCTCACGCGGCCACGCGTATACAACCTCTGCCAGGGAAGTCCTACTTACTGCCTTCTCGTGGCGGGAATGTTGTTTGCGAAAATGAGAGGACAAAAAGCGAATGTCCGGCGCTTTAACCGGATTCCAAACCAATGGTGCACATGGGCTCCAGTATCCTGCGGGAACAAATGGCATATGAACCAATTGTTGGTCACAGGCTACCATGAGACTGCATCTTCTTACGATGCTCCACTGCTTTATGGACCAGACCTTTAGGTCAAAGGCTCGGGCTGTGGCCCCCTAAGAAAACCACCTGCTTCAGTCTGGACACTCGGGCAGTATCACAACCCACACACACAAATATGTTGTGGCACATATATATTTGGTGCCCTCTTGTACCAATATTTATGTGTTCAAATAAATAATGACTAATTGAAGTTGATCGAGGCTGATAAGGACCGAAAGTAGGGTTTGAGTTTTAACTCTCAAAACAAGTCTCTCTGATAAAAAATATATTGCAGTCAGGATCAGAACGGTTATTTTAGTCAGTCATAATGTGAACGATGAGCAGCTTGGTTAGTAGTACTCTCCTGTATAGTTCTTTCATGTTACACGAGTTGGTGGTATGATATGTTTATTATTCGTCAACTTATTGGAAAGTATATATGCACTCATTTCTTTTTTTTACTTTGAAAGACCCAGCAAAGCGTCATAAAGGTGCTATTTCCATGGCCGGTGGATTCCCAATGATTATGGGGTTGCTAGTTTTCGGTGTTCAGCACTTGGTAGCGAGTATAAGGTAATATATGTAATGTCCAATTAATATTACGTTTAATTAAAGCTGTTATATGTATTATGTGTCAAATATTATTGCCTCAATCCGACCTCTTTCATTTTTTTTAGGTGTACGGGTTGTGCATTGCGTAGTTGAGGGAAGTTGGGTCATATGTAACAGCATTCATAAATATTTAGTAGACGACTATTTTTATCATTGTCATGCATGCATTTAGAATAAAACTATTTCACAAAATGTTCTTTTCGCTTAATTTACATTAGTGTTAATTTCAAAGCTGAATTGTATTACTTGGTATTCAAGTTTTTACCAAGGGTCACCAAAAGTCCAAATGTGATTCCCTTTCACTTTACAAACCGTACACTAGAGCATTTCAAACAAATAATGTAAATTATAAGGATTTAAACATGCAAAACATGCTTCTATTGCCATGTGCAAATTGGTAAGGGGAATCCACAAATTCGGTCATGCTACCTGAAGAACCATAATTTCCGCTAGTTTATTTGTCTTACTAGTTTTAGTAGACATTTGAAGATCATGGATACCTGTTGAGCGTTTTTTTTCGGTCAAAAGCGCCACACGACCTAGTCCATAATCGTCCTTTAATTTTATTGTTTACAAAATTTAACCGTTGGCAACGACCGGAGTTTTGCATCAGCTGCAGCCTGATGTTTACATTCAAATTTTAATTAATGTCTAATCGTCAATAGCAGGCTAAGGCTAGTCACTCCCTGGCGTTTCTGTACAAAACCGATTATTTAACTTCGATAGCTTGTTTACGGTTTATTTCTTCTTTTGTGAAGATTTAATATCTGTAAATCTCAGCACTGAAGTGCTATCCTAGTTTTATTATCCCATACTCTCAATAAAAGGTGCTTTTCCTGGTCTCTAATTTGTTTGGCTTGGCGGTGCTTGATATCAAACTACAAATCCATTACGGGACAGTTTTAAAGTGGTGTAGCGTGTCTGTTAAGGAACGGTAAGTGAATATACTGTTGAAAAATCTCAAAATATATATGGCTTGCTGATTTGTTTGATCATTATATCGAAATTTCGGAAACATTACACGAAAGTCATGATCCATTCTCATTATGCCGAAAGTTAAAATTTTCTGAATTAAATAATAAACGAAAATACTATCCATCACCCGGGGTTAAGCTTAAAAAGAAAATTGAGAACAGAATGCGCTAAAAGAAGCACAGTTCTCTTCCACTAAATACTTGAGAATAATCCAATCAGCAACCATCAGATTTAGTAAGCCAGCTGAACATGTATTCCACGGGGCTACTTATACTTGTCCCGTCTCCGGCAATTCTGTAGATGGTCTGGGTGTAAGATCGTCCATCGAAGTTTGTGCGTCAGGTAGTTGGGGCATCTTGTTATCTACAGATAACCGTGCTTCACTAATTGGCGGGGACTGGACAGCGGGGCTGCGTTTGTCCTCGCTCACCTCGTCCGATAGTTTGTCGTTTGCTGAGAATGTTGCGGGTTGTGGATGTTCGAATTCATCGATGGCCGACTTCAGTTCTTCACTCAACGATTGTGGTAGAGGCTTCCCGGTCGACTTTGTTTCTACAGTTGACTCTGCTAAAGTGTGACTAGCGAGAGTTATCGGAGTTTCTACTGGTGTGTGTAGTTCCACGGTTTCTTCTGATGTCTGTGGAATTTGTGTTTTTAGCTCGATTTTTGGTGTTGGCGTCTTAGCCACTTCTTTCGGTGCCTCTGGTATTTCACCTAGTGTCTGTAAATTTGTGGCTTCCTTCGGGGTTTGTGGTTCCTTAGTTTCTGGTGTCTGTGGTTTTATAGTTTGTTTTGGTATCTCTAGTTTCTCGGTTTTTGGTGTATTTGGCTTAGCTACTTCTGTCTGCGCTTGCTCCTTCTCAGTCTCTAGTGTTCGTGGTCCTGCAACTGCTTTCGGTGCTTGTGGTTCTGCTTCTTTCGTAGACGCCTGTCTCTCAGTAATTGGTTGTGACTGTGTGACACTAGTGACTGGCTGTTTGCTTTCTTTAACTGGTTTCTCGGTTGACACCTCGATTTTTTTTGGGCGAATAACCTTCTTTTCTGAAAAAATAAGAAAAGTTGTATTTCAGAGGTATTAATGTCATTTTTATTCACCAATGTACTACTGGTCAATACAACCGAGTTCACGCGTCAATTATAAGTAAAAACAGATAATTAATTTTGCTGATGATAGTCTTCAAGAATTTCTATTAAAGCATACTATGAGTGTTCGTTTTATCTTCAGTAATAGACAGACTAATGGAATAGCTATAGTCTCACCTTGAGGTCTGACTCCAACTAGTTTCCTAGGAAAACTAAGGGACGGACCCCGCAATGAGGCTACTGACAAATCAGTTGTATACTGTCGTCACGTCGATGGGATATTCATTTTAGTAGACCAGAATATTATTAGAGAATTACCATTGAATCAGTCTAACAGTGTATACCTGGCAATCGATTTTACTGACGAGTACGACAGTAAACTAAATTTCATTGACATCTCATAACGCAGACGGAGTAACGGCTCGTTAAGCAGAAGCGAAGACAGAAAGAGCTCCACCCGTTGGTATATACACTTCTATTGTTTCACACTCATCCGTTGCTAAAGAAATCCGGTTAGATATCTTACAAGCAGACGAAAAATATCTATTCAGAGGGTACAGTAAGGGAAAAGTTCATCAATGGCACGCTGACGGAAAAAAGCTACTGGAGAAGCTTTACAAAGAAGTGCATATATGGAAGGAAAAATAAGCTGGAACTCCTTGTAAAGATACAATTCAACGGGGACGTTGTTGATAGATTGGCGAGGGTAGTTAATATGATATTCTACTGAGCTAATCTTACATTATCAGTTGGGAGGGGGTTGGCGCGTAGCATACCGTGTATTATTGTCAAGTTTCGGACAACGCAAATCACAATAATTTTCTAGTAGGCGAGTAATGTCTTCTGAAACGAAGTATAAGTTACCTGAGTTTGTCTCTTCTACGTACAACTACAAATTCAGCTGCTTTTGCGGAGATCGGTATATTGAGGATACTATCAGGCAACTTGACCAACAAATGAATGAACATCTCCCAGCTTGGTTTGGAAAGGGCAAGACAAGGACAATACACAGTTCTATCATGGCACACCTGTTTGGCGGCAGTCATATAATTTCAAGTGTTCTGTCGTCTAACTCCGTCATTTCTGACGGTGTTCGATATTGTCTCCTACATAAAGCGGAAGTTATGGTGAACCCATAACCCCATGTGCTCAGAAGGAATTCACACCGACCCAGTCGTTTCCTTGGCCGGATATGATGTAATAAGTGGTTTCATTCATTTTTCCTCACCCCATGTTTTTCTGTTATTTCTCACCTTCCTGTTTATGTTCTCCGCTATCTAATTATTTACAAACTACATAATCTGTGTTCTTGGTTATTTTATCTATTTATCCAAGTTTGGCCTGCTTCCTATATCGAACTATTGACTGAAACGCCCATAAATTTATAAAAATCACTGCTAGTACACCTGACATCTTGCTATCGATTTGTACTTTTGACCTATTATGTGCAGTTAGCCGATCTATTTCATAGTATTCATTGACCTATAAATTGGCCTAATAGGTTTGATACTTCCGTATGTATATTCATGCATATCAAAGTAAACCTGATGACGATCTGAATATAAACAATATTTTTCTCTCATATGTGTTGTTCTGTTTTCCAATGTTATTACTTACTGTTACCTTTCGTGGAAGGGCATAGGTCACCCACCAGCATTCTCCGTCGAACTTTGTCCTGGGGAATCTTTTCCATTTGTTTCCGACTGCTATTCTTTTGATATCTGCCTCCAATTCTCGACGCATTGTGTTCCTTTGTCTTCCTCTTCCCCTCTTCTCTTCAGGATTCCAAGTTAGAGCTTGCTTCGTGATGCAGTTTTATGATTTCCGTAATGTATGTCTTACCCACTTCTAACGTCTTTTTCTAATTTCCCATTTAGCTGGAAGCTGGTTTGTTCTATCCCACAGTTGGCTGTTGCTGATAGTATCCGGTCAACGGATCTGGTTTATCTTACGTAGACAGTTGCTTATAAATACTTGTATCTTTTTGATGATGGTTGTGACTTTGATATTGGTTGACAGTTGTTTTGAGTTTCATGCGTTCTTCAAGGAATGCTGTCCTCACTTTTCTAATCCTCACATTTACGTTTGCATTAGGTCCTCCTAGTTTGTCGATGACGCTGCTCAGATATGTGGAAGTTTCCATCTCTTCCAGCGTTTCTCCAGCAAGTGTGATTGGGTTGGTGTTCCCCGTGTTGTATTTCAGGATATTGCTTTTTCCCTTGTGTATGTGGAGTTCTACTGATGCAGAGGCTTCTGCTACGCTGACTGCTTTCACCTGCATGTGGGACAGAAGGGTTCGGTCAACCTCATAGTCAAAATCGTCTAGTTGCATGCGGGCTTTCCATTGTATTCCGTGCTTTCTCTTCATAATCCAGTCGACCACTAGAAGAAAAAGAAAGGGAGAGAATAAGCAGCCTTGTCTAACACCGGTTTTCAGTTGGAATGTATCTGTCAACTGTCCTTTGCACTTAAGTCCGATGTTTGATCTCCTTTCACCTGTATATTGATGAGTTGTCCTTCTTTCCAGTCCATCGGCACTTATTTTTCCTTCTAACTTTTCCTGAATAGTGTGGAGCATGTTTGCAGTTACTTCTCTGTCTGAATTCCATGCTTCAGCTGGTATGTTGTCAAGTCCTGATGCTTTCCCACTCTTGATTTTCGTGATGGCTATCTTGATTTCTGCGACCGTGTGATATCTGTAAGGAGGTCTCCGTGTGCTGCTCTGATGTGTTGTGGGTTTAGGGGGTCTGGTTTTTTCAAGAGTTCCTCAAAGTGTTCTGCCCATCTGTACCTCTGTTCTTGAATCTCGGTGTTTGTCTTGCCTCCTTTGTCCTTGACTGGTTTCTTTGGTTTACCATAATTCCTTGTCAGTTTCTTCGTTGTGTCATGTAGTTCTCTTATATTTCCTTCTCTTGAAGCTTCTTTTCTGTCATTGCTCTTCTGCGTATTTCTGGTTGTCGGCTGTAATGCTCCACTTCACTTGCTTGTTTGCTTCAATGTATTCAGCGTGTGCCTTGACTTTCTCTGGTATTCGGCTGTTGTCAATTTCTGTCTTGTACTTACTTTCTTGAATCTTATCCAGGGTTCCGGTAGAGACCCATTCCTTTTGATGATGCTTGCGGAGTCCCAACACCTGACACGTTAAAATTAGTGCTTCTTTGATCCCTATCCAATTTCCCTCCATAGTAATTTCTTCTTTTAGTAGATCATGTAAGGCTTGGAACCTGCTGTTGAGGGCTACCTTGAATTGGTTGTTTGTCAGTATCTCGAAGGAAGTCTGTACTGAACCTTTATAATGCTGTTCCACCAGTGTTTCCAGTGTTTCTTTAGCTTCAGTTTCATCTTGGTCACAACCAGGTGGTGATCTGAAGTTATGTCAGCTCCTTTCCTGGTTCTCACGTCTCTCATTGTCCTCCTGAATTCTTTAGTGATACAGATATGATCGGTCTGGTTCTCTGTAGTGTAATCTAGTAAGACAAATGAAGCTTTGTGTGTGCGTTTGTGGGGTAATATTTTGCCACTTATAACCAATTTGTTGAATGCACATAGATTTGCGAATCTCCCACCACTCTCGTTTCTTGCTTCCAGTCCATATCGTGCCATGATATCTCCATACCCGGTGTTGTACATTCAGACCGTGGCGTCTAGGTAACCTATCAGGATGGTCAGGTCCTTTGCTGGGAACGTCTCTACGCTTGGCTACAGTATCTCGTAAGACGGATCTTTATCGTCGTCGTTGTCATCATTGGTGGGTGTATAATATTGGATAACATTCATTGTGATTCCTATCTTATAAGTGGATTACGTGCTTCTTTCGACAACATGAGAGCAACTCTCTGAGTGTTGGAGCATTTTCTTCTTTGTGACCAAAGTACAGCAGCATCTCTCCCGAACCTAACCTTTGTTGTCCAGCTCGGGTCCAGTGGTTTTCACTGATTCTGAAAACTGTCAAATTGTATCTCCTCCCGGTCCCCCACATTGTCTGGACATTCCGTGCTCCTATATTAATTGTTTCTGTGATTGCTCGAAGGGGTATCGGTCTTGTGACTTCGGAAGAATTTCGGCCTTCACCATGAATTGCCATTATTCGTCTGAATGAAAATCCTTCAACTCGGAGGATATAGTTTAAATGGGTAGATTTGTTCATTCTGGTTAGTGTATATTCTGGCAAGGTTGTTTTCCACGAGATGGGGTTGCTGACCCCATCCTCAACCCTCCTCCTTTATCCGGACTTGATACCTTCTAGAAGTTAGATTATTTTAAATCATATTCTTACAATAATTTAATGTTGATCTATGCATTATTTCTACCTAACTCCCATTAGATTTATTTGCATTAATTTATATAGACAAATAGTTTATCAGGTGGACATTTTGTTTACTTTGGAAATACGCATAGTAATTTCTCAAAATCGACCAGATTGACCCAAATCAATTCATTGTTCATCTTTACCAAAATCTCGTTTCATAATTTTTATTCTCCCATTTCAATTTTTTGTTTTTGAAAACATATTCTTTACATCTAATCTTTTCTACTGTTATAATGATTTTATTGTTCTCCTTGATTCGCGATTCATTCTGTTAAATTCGTCATGTTCTGATACAGTACAGTAACTAAGGTCATTGCATATTTATTTCAGGTTTTATGAGGACTGGTCGTCATGTGTTAGAAAATACACAAAAATTAATGTCAAATTATACAACAAAAAACATTCGTTTACAGTACAATCTACTATTACTAATTGACTTTGATAACGGGAATTAATTTCAGTCCCTATACTTATTTATTCTGTTGGTGGTTGCTAATCTTACTAGGTAGGTTCGCACTCTGAATTAATTAAGCCTGTAAGATGGTAGAAACTAATTGTCAGATAACGTAAATAGTATATTGTCGAATATCCCATTCAGTATTTGTCATGTAAATTATGGACACCTTATTAGTTTGTCTCTTGTCATTGTTTTATTCTCAGTATTAAAGAATGTATGGAAAATTGAATATATGTAGTCTATATACAAGATTCTATAAATTTTCACTCTGTTTAATTTGGAATTATGTTCATAATAACGTTATTTAATTAAAATCATGGAGAAGATTTGTAGCTCACGTGGATGATTTTGATGGAGGTTTGTTCTCTGAGCTAGATGACTAGGTCGTGACCATCCAGCTCAGAGAACAAAACTCCATCATAATCATCCACCTGAGCTACAAATCTTCATCATCTCAAAATCATATGAGCGTAGTACGCTTCTGGTTGTTCGAAAATGGGAGAATTTTGCCGAAAGGTAGGCTTCCACTGGAGAACAACTGTATTTTCTCCACGAGTGTCTTCGTCAGCATGTTCCACCAACAATTGTAAGATATAGACCCCCAGTCAACTCCCCATTGGGATGGATAATAACTGAGCAAAGTGGAAGAAAAATGGTACACCTAATGATAACGGATACATATTACAGGATCCCTAAATACCAACACGTCATAGAGGACCAAAAGATGAAGATACAAAGGACACTCACGTCATAACACTTGGAAATCTTGACAACAGCCATAGAAATATCATACAAACGGCACAGAGAGCAAAGAAGAAACACCCTAAACACGACCAAACTATCCAGCTCAGTGAACAAAACTCCATCAAAATTAAAATAATCTAAATACACATGAGTCTGTGGCATTTATAATCAAATCAAATGACATTATTTGCATATTATAAGATTAGAACTTCATTCATATATTCGTACGTAATATACTAGTTAAATGTTGAAATTCTTGAGTTATTCAAAGTTTATCTTAATTGTTTCTTAAATATCGTATTTTACCTAGTATTAAAGTGAAATATAAGAAAAATGGAGTTTTCAGTTTGATAAAGGCTTTTTTTCACAAAGAACTAAGTAAAAATTGTGTTTCTGATTTAGTATGTAGAGCTGTTAGGTAACTTTAGAATCCTTTTATGGACCAATACTAAACGTATATTCTTATCGTATAATTGTTAAATAACTAAACTATTCATATTCCTCTTATTGTAAACTTTATTTTGACCTGTGAACCATTATTATACGTTTAATCATTCTTGAATTATGCCCTGTCTATTAGTCACTGCCTCCTACATTCACAGCCACATTTGGCCAAATTTTGTACAAATGTTATTTTCTATTTTATGGTACGTTGTGGTCTGTTTGATTGGTATATAAACTCAGTATGTTTGAAATACGAGGATTCATATTGCAGAGGCTGAGACTGGTGTTCTGGACTTAACTGGCTGGTCTAGGCGGAAAGCAGGACCAATCAGGACTCTAGACTGCTCGCACGTGTTTTAAGCGTCCTTGGTCCGAACGATAATTCGCTGTTTCTGATTGGTGGCTTTGGGCCATAACAGGAGCAGAAATGATCAGATTGATTTACGCAAGTCCTACTCACTACCTTCTCGTGGCAGAGGTGTTGTTTACGAGATTGTGAGGAAGAAAAGTGAATGTCCGGCGTTTTAACTGGGTTGGTGGATATAAAGGATTTACCTAGGGGAGTTGGAAAATCTAGATTCCAAACTATTGGTGCATATGGGCTCCAGTATCCTGAAAGAACAAATGGCTATGAACCAATTGTTGGTCGATGGGTACCATGGGACTTCATCTCCTGACGATTCTCCACTGCCTTGTGGATCAGACCTTCAGATCGAAGGTTCCGAGTGTTGTTCCATAAGAAAACCACCTGCTTCGGTCTGGACACCCGGGCAGTAGCATAGCCTACACACAAATCAAGTGACTTGTGTGGCGCATGTGTATTTAGTGCCCCAATGTACCAATATTTATGCTTTCAAACAAATAAATAAAATAAATTATACCATCACAATTCCTTGAAAAATCAATATTTTAAGTAGACCGATCATATAGAACAGATTCTTATTAAAATAGCTAACTGTGAATTATCATGACATCAAATTTCCACGAAATATAAATGAATAAATGACCTGATTGTTCAGTGGCATGCGCTGAAAGATTAATTTGTAATTGTTTACAAATTCGTGCATTACCATGAGATACCTGCTTTAGTCAAAAATAATTGATGTGGATTTGTGATCGGACATCTGACTACTGACCTATAATATCAATCAGGGTAGTAAAATCACACTAGTAGTGATAAACATTAAAAATTCCATTAATTAATATCTAATTTAAGAGTACAATACAGAATAGTCATTCAAATTCTGGAAATCATTCATTTATTATCATTATCCTTTAAAATAGTATAGAGTATTTGAATATGTGTACTTACCTATAAGTTGTGGGGTGCTTTTTTCAACTTTTGGCTCCAGTTTCGATGGCTGTTGTGTAGAAGCTGGTTGTGATGGTGGTGGCGGTGTTTGATGTGCTGGCTTATTTGCAGTTAGTTTGCTCGTTGGATTTGCATCTTTCTGAGCAGGTGCTTTTTTAACAGCAACAGCAGTATTAGTTGAAGGTGTAGTTGTTGACGATGGTTGTACAGGTGGTGAATGTGAATGGATATTTAATGTCGATGACAAAGTGTCTCGATTTCTACGGAAATAATATTCACTTGGTAATTTAAGTAGGTCAATATAATCACTGTCACACATTCCTTCACCAGTAATGGGATTTCGAATAACTAAAAAAATAAAATTAGTTCCATAGTTTAATTAACCAAGTTGAAATAGCGAATATTATATGTGTCATGAACAACGAATTTATGCTCTTTATATTTTCTGTTGAATTAGCATAGTTAATTATTTTATCTCATTTATAATAAACCTAGATGATTGTTAAAATATTTCGTTAACGATTTTACGATATATATATATATATATATATACTGTAGGTTATTTCCATAATGGATTTTTTGTGTCAAGCATAATACTTGGTCTATTGGTAAAGTTGAATAGTGGCTAGCTGGGGAGTCAAGGACAAGCGTTTTGTTCTATCCGAGACTCATTCGCTGGGTGTATCTAAATTTGAGTTTTGGTAACATATTGAGACTTAAACCCAGAACCATTATTTTCAAACACTAATGTGTTATTCTTTCAGCTACTGAGTTCAATTGACCACTAGCTTGTGTAACGTGTGTGACTTTGCTAGGATTTGTATTTTCTCGTCTGTTGGTGTTAGGAACTACAATCTTATTGGTTCCTATTGAGATATGTGCATCTTGAGCGGATTTCCCTGATATTATCATTTAGTTACAAATATTTAACAAAGTAGGATGGTGACTAGCAGTGAGGTTCAGGAAAAGTATTTGGTCCTATTTGAAATTTATCAGCCGAATGTATCTGCATTCCAGTGTTGCTGTTCACGCTGTGACTTCATAACATCAATAATGAGAAAGTACAAACCCTTAGCACACAACTGATGATTTACATTGTTTTAAATATATGAATGAGATTTAGTTAAATTTATTGTAGTTATGAAGTCGTTTATTCAATTTCACAATATCGTTTTCAGAAGTAACGTTGTCAGTGGTATTTTAAAACTAATTGTACTACAACTAAACACAAATTGTTGAAACTCGCTGACTAATTTTAATGTTCCAAAAACCCAGACTATGAACTCTTTTTAAAAATTAATGCCAAAAATGCTTTCAAAACTGAAGAAAATAATTACTTCAGACACCGTAACTTTACAAAACTGATTTCACTAATAAACATGTCTGATGATAAGTAGAAAGAGTACCACTAATTCTGTTTATGTACAAATATTTTATAATTCATTCATGTAACCAACTTCCACAATATTTCAAGTATTTAGGTGTGCAGAATGTTATTATACGTCGTTCTGAAACTTTAGATTTAACCATTTATTAGTCAAATGTTATTATTTGATTGAAAGATTATAAATCATTTGCTTAAAATGTTTCCTATTGTATCGAGACACTGACATCAAGTGAAAATAACTAACTAGAAATAAGCAAAATTACTTAATTTCATATAAAAGAAAACTCAATCGCGTGATAAAAATGATAGATTGTGGCTTGAATCGAAACACAGGAAGCATATTTTGTTCTATTTGGAACTCGTCAACTAACAATTTACCTGTACCATAGTGTTGACTTTCACACTAGGACTCGCCTCGAATTTCGAACGTATAATCTACTGAGGTACTAAGCCCTAGTTTCTTCAATGGGTATAAACTTTACTTTTAGGGGTTTGAATTATCCTTTTGTTGTAGTGACTGGTCACCTAGATGTATCTGCGACAACAATGGGATAATTCAAGCCCTCACAAAGTAGAAAAATTGTGTTAGTTTACTTAAAATATTTCTAATAACATAGTTTTGCAGCTGCAATTAACATACCCTTTCGTAATTTTCTACTCTCTGAAACTACAGACACATTGCCTATAGTCACTTCATTGAAATCTCCGATTGTCGATGTTTCATCGTTCAGTCCAATTGATGATTGATCAGAAGATATATTTTTCTGTTGATGTGTAATTGGATTAGTGTTCGCTGAATCGATAAATTCGAATACGGAAAATATTCATTTTATTTCAGACAGTTGTTATATTATTTTTAATTAGTCGTTATACAGTGTTAGGTATCAATAGAGCACAGAAAAGTGGCAACACCTTGGATTAAGCGGCGGCTTGGAATAGAATACATGTGTTAAAACCATATAATTCAAGTAAAATTTTAGAATTTATTAACCAGATTGACATTTCAACCTGGAATTTTATGCTTACTGTAATCAAGGTCAGGATTTTCAATACAAATGTGAAGACAGTTCTACTATATGGGGCGGAAACCTGGAGAACTACAAAAGTCATCATTCAGAAGATACAGGTGTTTATTAACAGTTGTCTACGCAAAATACTTCGGATCCGTTGGCCGGACATTATTAGCAACAACCAACTGTGGGAAAGAACGAACCAGATCCCAGTGGAGGAAGAAGCGCTGGAAGTGGATATGACACACATTGAGGAAAGCACCCAACTACGTCACAAGACAAAGCCCTCACATGGAATCCTCAAGACCAAAGGAAAAGAGGAAGACCAAGGAACACATTGCGCCGAGAAATGGAGATAAACATAAGAAAAATGAACAAAAGTTGGACAGAACTAGAAAGAAAGGCTGCGGACAGAATGGGGTTGGAGAATGCTGGTCAGCGGCCTATGCTCTATTGCGAGTAACAGGCATAAGTAAGTAAGTAATCATAGATGATCAGTGCTATGAAAACTCCCTATGTTCGAATATTTATAACTTACGCTTGTCTTATCATTTCATAATGTTATTCACTTTTCTAACCTTACTTTTAATCGTTAATGACTTAAAATCCTTAAATCACAGGTAATTGATAAACACTGATAAGCTGTTTCACTATAGTCTAGGACTCCTAATCAATACACATATATAACTTCAAATAGATCAGGTGTCTATAGACCACCTAATTGACTATTATTTGTAGTTGTGTTTCACGTTGTTAATGACTGACTGACTGACTGTGTTTCACAATTAACAGCCTCTAGATGGATTTATCTTGTGAGAATTTGCGACCTATGGAATTAACTCATACACAAGTTAGGAAACATATAAACAAATTGTTTAAAGTTGAAAATGTTATACCGTGTTCAACATCAACCATGAAGGTGTTTGTTTTGATTCCAATTTAACGGATGCCACTTCAATAATAAAAACTGAACATACTTCCAGGAACCATCTGACTGAACAATGTAAATTACTAGTTATTTTAATTTTTGTCTGATAAACTTTCTACGGTTTGTTAGTTACTAGCAAAATTATTCATAAAGCATTACCATCAAGGAATGATAACTGAAGTAGAAAGAAAACATTCAGGATTACTTTAAAAAAATTTATATGTTAGTCTTTACTATATCGAAACACAAAAATAGGATTTTCAACCACGTTTTTTCTCATCCCAATCCGTGTAAGTTCGAATTTATAGACGTCATATTTCTAAACAGGTTCTTGATAAACTAGACTATAAGACTTTAATAAAACAATGACAACTTAACAGTCATCTAACGACTGAATTACCATTGATTTCATCCATGAAATAAATTTCACTGATTGAAATCATGAGTCAATTGAAGCTAGACCACCATGGAAAACCTGGAAGCACTGGACGGCAGTTTCGTGACTAACTTCATGAGATACTCCTGGAGTTCTAGTGGGAAGCCGTTACCAGTGGAGTTCAACCAGGTCTGTTTCAAGATATCAACTCACTGAAGACAATGGTGTACGGTGGCGCAACTTCGTGGATTGGTTTAAGTTAGACATTAACACCGTTGGATGCCGGCTCAGTGGTCTAGTTGGTTAAGCGCCTGGCGCGAGACTGATAGGTCCTGGGCTCGAATCTCGTGGGGTGCTGGATCGTAGACGCGTATTGCTGAGGAGTCCCATACTAGGATGAAACGACCGTCCAGTGCTTCCAGGGTTTCCATGTTCGTCTAGCTTCATTGACTCATGATTTCAGTCAGTGAAATTTCTAAATTCTCCACAAAACCCCTTCTGATAATCTTATTTTGACTAAGTAATTGTTCATATTCTAAGTTCAGTTAACAAATCAAGCATTCATTGAGTTCTTTTCTTTTTTTTTCACACAAAATAATTATTTACTGGATAAGGATAAAATCATCAAAATAAAGATAAACCACCAATTTGGAAGTTTATACGAGATAAAATATAGTTCTTATTCATATTTGTCTCTATGTCTTGATTATAGTTCATGTTATTGAAGCCAATATTAGTTCAAGGTTAGTCAGAGTATACAGATCGATTTACCAAGATACCACTGTTTACAAATTCATTTTATTTCGTTTTTAATATAATGTGATAATTCCAGCCAACTATGTTTTTCACATTCGTCATACAAATGATCATCAATAAATGGTTTTTCATATTTCATGTTTACTTCTCTAGACTGTATTTTTTTAATTAGTTCGTTATGCCTACTTGGTTTGAACTGATCAATTAGATTTCATAGTATGCAACACAGATTGATCTTAATTAAATAACCATTGAAAAGCATGAAACACTGGAAAGCTAATTTTTCTTAGTATGGAACTCCTTAGCGATGCACATCTACGACTCCACCGGGTATCTAACCGAAACTTTCCAAATTTGCGTCGAACTCTTAGCATTCAAACGTTTGAGTCATCAATGATTAATGGTTTTAAATGTTAATAAAAATTAAAGTTGTGCTTTTAATTAGCGTAAATTTTGTCGATACTGACGTTCCATTTAAATTTCTCAGTAGATATTTGTTCATAGTATGAAGCCGTGAGTTATTGGTTAAATCACTCGATTTTCATTTAACAGGTATTAGGGTTGAACCTCTCTCCTGTGGCACTGCTATTTTTTTTGCATAGACAACTGAGTAAACAGTATCTGTACTTGATAAATGAGCTAAAATATCTGTTAATAATGAGACTTAAAGAATTATTTACAATTCAACCGATGTATTCTTTATATGCCTGTTTAACGAATAATGCGAAAAAAGAAGACTAATTCAGTCCATAATTGATTCAATTTAAAATTGATATTATTATACTTAATGGCTATGAATAGTCTTGACATATAATAATAGAGCTCATACAGTGGTTATAATCACTAGTACTAACTCCCAGTGAATCTACATCTACAGATTTATAATAATTACCTTTAAACAAAATATAATCAGTATGATATCTAGTCTGTTTAAGCAATGGTCACATTGGGACTTTGTCGATAGAATTCGATCATCACTAAGTCACCATTTAAGGATCAATGAATAAGAATGGTAGAATGAAATATTATAAAGATTGATTTAAATAATATGATATGTGAAAATTTTAGTTTAACCCATTTTTGATGGGTTATCATGGTTTAAAATGTTTGTTAATAGATAAACAAAAGTTAGTGTTTTAAGTGTATATTTATACTAAAATGACTTGGTTAATACGATATATTAATATAATTAAGATAAGGTGGGATAATATACAAAGGCGTGTATGTACAACTACAGATATATATATATATATATATCACAAGGGTTAAGGCATTAACAGATTATATTTTTCTCTAATTAGAGGTACTTGGTAGTCCTCCACTTATCGTTTCAGTCAGTTAAGAATTAAGGTGATCATAAGAATCTATTTGTTTTCTAGAGTAATACTCTTTTTGTAATTCACGTTTACTTGGTTTGTGAACTTATGATTTCGGACAAGTCACGTAAACTGAATTAAACACCTTTTTCACTAGAGTGTCATAGTTAAAAAAATAGGTAGTTCTTGATTATTGAACGTATGTGTTTAATCAACATTTACATTCATACATAAATTTATGGTTATGCAGTCACTAGATATACAGTCTACACAGTCCATCACTGAAAGTAGTGAACGTTTGTCGATAATTGAGACCGCAAACCGATTAAATTTAGATAACGATTAAAAACAAGAAAGACCTGGTGTAGGACTCTTCTGAAGTGTTCATCCACGACTCTATCAAGGATCAACCCGGAACCTTCAGGTCTCGTGGGGAGAGCTTAAAATTAGGATCACTGAACCGAGATCCAATAGTTTTCATATCTAGCTGCAATCAATTCTGGACATTATTGCGAAACTTGAAGGTCCTGGGTCTGGTTCATGGTGCGGTCTTGCATGTGCATTGGTAGGTTCCATATTGGAATGAAACAAATGTTTAGTGTTTCCTGGTTTTCGATTGAGTTGACACGTCCATACTTAGTGTTTGATAGTTTAAGTTTCTATCAAGAAATACACTATTTAGTAAGAAACAACCTAAGAGTTTCTTTTTACACAGTTATTTATTCATTTCTTACTTCCATTTGTGACTTTACATAAAATTACAATTGAAATCTGAATACATAAAAGTGTATTTTATAAATGAATTACATTGAAAATCAATTTGTCTACATAATACACTTCAGGATGATAAAAGTTTTACTGAAACTAAATTAGTTTTGTATATGGTACACCTATTAATGATCTAATTGAATTGTATAATAACTTTATAACTAATCATTTGTGGATTAGTTTTCTGACTTTTTATTGATTTACAGTTTGTAACAATAAATGTTTCTGTTATCTTTGAGGTCACTCTGTTTCCTGGTAAAGAATTTTAATGATAACTATGGTGATAATCATTCGTTTGATTACAATTTTTTATTTTTATACTAACCAAAATGAAATTGATTTCTAGTCATTATAATCATTACAAATTGCCGAGATGTATCGCTTAAAATGTTTTAAATGATAAAATGATAAGGACCTTAATGTCTCTTGGTGATTGTGATTTAACATTCTTACTTAGTTGTTCGATTTTCTATGGATACAGAAGCAGTAAATATGTGATATTTGTTATATCACTAGTTAAATGCAGTTAAAAAGTATATACCACTGGGTTCTAACTCAGAGTTAGTGATGATTCTTTTTTGAATCACTTGTTAATTGATGAATGCACATTCATAATAAAATTCAAAACCAAGATGGCAAAGCAGTTCATTGCTGTTTAGTTTTCTCTGGTCCCCAAGCTTATGTTAGTCTGTAATGGGAGACAGCTTTAAAAATGTTTTGAACTACAATCCTCTGGTCCCCTTACTTAGATGACCCACCATACGTGTTTGTTAATTAGATCTTACGTCAACTTTAGTGTATAAACCTGGTCGTTAGTGAAATCTTGTTCTAAGGAATATAATGATCACGTAATGTTATTTCAGTTAACTGACTTATGAAAGGTAGAACAAAGCTTGAGTAGTAGCGTGTATATATATATGTATATATCAGAAGGGGTTTTGTGGAGATTTTTTAAAAATTTCATTAGTTGAAATCATGAGTCATTTGAAGCTTGACGAACATGGAAAACCTGGAAGCATCGGATGGCTGTTTCGTCCTAGTATGAAACTCCTTGGCAGTGAGCGTCCACGATCCCGCATCCCGCGAGATTCGAACCTAGGAACTATTACACCTGGGGTAATCCTGGGAATAATACACTAGTCAACAGCTATTAACTGATATTGTAATAGTAGAGAGTAAACAGAAGGTTGAGTTAATGATTTTATTCACTAAAAGAAATCCGAATGATGAATCAACAAACGAACTATTTTTCAAAAAAAGTGCCTTTTTATCGACATAACAGAGGCATCTTAAAATAATTTTTAGATTACTCCTAAGATATATGAATGTTCCACATAACAACTGTTAGTTTAATTTTTATGGAGATTTTAATTTAAGCTAATTGTTTATGTATGATCGTTGGAATTATTTAAATTCATACTACTCAATGGAAAATCAGCATATTTGTTAATTGACAACAGTTTCTCAAAAGATAAGAAGAACAACTCGGAAAATGATCAACTGACGAGGTTTAAATGTTAGATTAAGTTAGAAATAAATAATCTTTCTACATAAGTTTGATGTCACTAATGACACTTTTCTCATTCTGTAGGAAACGATGAGAAAGTTGGCTTGTTTTGCAAACTTCTTATGTCTATTTAAATAATTATTATAAATGATGATTAGGAAATGCACCAAAAACCAAATTTATTTTTACTTGGAGTATATAGCAGAAAAAATATATATGCTGAAAGTACTTAGTGGTGATTTTCACTATTTCTCAAGGGTGAATATCATAGTCAATTGATTGAATTGAACATTTATTCAAGTAAACATTCAGATTTTAAACAAAACTGGTTAACTAAATATGAGAGCTTTTACAAGGCAAAGATGAAATACTGACATTGGCTTTTTGGTTAGCTCTAGTTCTGAACTGAATTTCTTAAACAAACCTCTAAGGGTATTGAATTTAGATATTGAGGCAGTGCATGTCGGTTGGGGACGATGCTGCTGCTGATGATGATTAGTTGATAATCGATGAGTCACAGGATCTATAGAAAATAGTAAATTGTATTTTATATAACTGTTTATAATCATTGTAATACTTGAAGATAACCTGATAGTTCGTTAAGCATATTGCTTAAAAATATACAGAAATAAGGATCGTGATATCCAGTCAAGTTATAAGTAAAAGGTGTCTATTTTAGACAATTTTACGTTACAAGTTTTCAGTATTAATAAAATACAAGCTAGTTTCTTTTATTTGAAAATAAGTTTTAGATACACACAATCACCTGAGAACTCACTTTCTTCATAATGTATATACACTTTGATGTACTCAAATAGTTCAGCGATAACATCTCTGACTATAACAATGGGAAGGGATTGGACACAAACTCTACTGGTGAACATCAGTTTCCTCTAGAGTGCATTTACACATTGATGACGAGTGCAAACCAACACAAAACCTACAATTAAAGCTTTTCTCAAATGACCTCTGAATCATCAATATCAATAAAATTGGTTTACACGACATCAGGTTTCAAAGAATTTTGAAGGAATAATTTTTCGCCAAGATTCTTCTTATTTAATTGTAGGTGCTTGAAGACAAATGACAGAATCCTCAGGAGTTGTATACCAAGCTAGTTGACAAATTTTAGCAAGGTGTATCAATAATCTTGAAGAGATTAAGCCACCTCTGATGTATCTATACTAGTGTTATCGAGTGTTTTAGACAGCGTTGGTAATATTAAACTATTCACCTTGCAAATATACCTTTCGGATGGGTGTTGTTTACTCCAAAATCTAATTTTACATTTTCCTATCGATTGATTTTAACTGTCAAATATCGAGATACTTTCTTTCGGTTAGCAAAAAGAGCAGAAAAATCAACCACTTTCTATGAGCTTAAAGTCAATCATTGATATGAGTTTAATACTGTTTGGTTATATAGAAATCCCCCTACTTATTATTATTATTACTTACATTTAAATAGATTGGCAATGATTCTTTTTGAAGATAAACAAGTTGTAACATATGGTTACGTAATAATGAAATTTTACATAAAACATACTTTTATTGCTTGGAAAATGTTTCATCCCTCGAACTTTATCCGTCTTATATGATGTACCAGTTCTGTGCATATAACCAATGGGATCATGAGTAGCTGAAATATATTCAAACATTTATCATGTTAAGATGAAAGAACAAACATAAAAACATACAGGAAATTGATATTCGTCATTTACCAAAGATCAACTCAGCTAGTGTAACTTATCTAATATTATAGAGGGGTTATTTTTCTTAATGTAAAATAATTAACAACTGGTAACTGACTTCTATACCTGTTTATCATTAATTATTTCTTCTTTCTTAATAGTAAGTGTTCAACACCTAGATTACGTAAAGGAAGCAACTAACGAGTGATAACTGGTGTGTTTATTTGGTATTAAGAGTTGACCATAGATCCTCGCATCAAAGAACTCATATGAAGTTATGTTATGATATATCATAATGGATTACTTCAGTCGCTAAGTGTATGAGGAGAGTTGTCAAATGTCTCTGAACCTTATTCTCAAACTGTTTAAGATTAATGATTAATTTAAACTATATCACGCTACTTTTTTGAATCTTCATACCAGAAAGATTAATAAAGAATATAAGAGAACAAACTGGACTTATACCTTATAACTTGTGGTTGTATTCAATAAAGGTATTTACTAATGTTTGGAAATTATGTACGACTCCTACTTACGGGTAGAGTACTTTTCATCATATTTCGTCTTGTGCTAAATATTTGTTTATTACCTAGGCGTCTATTATTTACTTCACCACATCTATCTAGGGCATTCTACTGAGAAACGAAATGAAAACGACAGTATTTGCAAAATACAATGAATTCATTGTGTTTGAAGTAGTTATAAAAAACCTTGTTTTAAAACTCAACCTCTGTTACACTACATACAACTTATGCATTATCAATTGAATTTTAACATTATACTACTAGATGAAGATAACTAGAAATATTAGATTGTGTGTAATTAAATAGAAATAAACGAAACATAGTATACCAATCAGTGAATTGGAAGTGAAGTGTACTGGCAAAGTAGCGAAAAGGAGTAAGTCAGTAAATAGAGTAAAGTATTCTGGAATTTTCTTCTACTTCATTTCAAGTAATAACGACAGAATGCTCGTAAAAGATCCTTCTTAGAGTTATAGTAATATCAATGAGAAATTTAAGGCAGAAAAAAGTTCATATTTTCATTGATTCATCTTGTAGATTGTCGATCAACTAATTCTAAACTGAAAGAAAGTTTTATTGACAAACATAAATGGGTGCCATCTTTCTCTAAGTTATGTTATATATTTCCATCGTATTAGGACTTGTATTTTGGATAATCAAGTAAATTTTGGATATTGACTCAATGTGTACTTTTTTATTTAACGGGTCAAGTATAAAATGAGGCCAAATGTTATCTATCAGAAATTAGAATCAATTTACTGTAATGTAGGTTTATTGGTTTTTATCAAAACGATTTGGGAGAGGAGAATCGAGACATGGTGGGTTTTTATAACGTAACGTGTAGAAAGAAATCAAATTCACTTCTAAGATACTCTAATTACATAGTCTCATGGTGTGGATGTATACTAATGAAATAGGGTATAATTTCTGATTGCCTTTCTGGTTTTTGGTGAACTAAGACTGTATCAATGATTTTTATCAAAGATTGTTACGAAAACAACTCTACTATGAGAGAAGGACTCAAACAATATGGCAGGATAAAATGCCATAGTTTATTTGGAATGACTTGGAATATTATTTAGTAAGCGGAAGTTAATGTGCAATATTTTGTTCATAACCTCACTAATGTTTCTGCAAAACATGTAGATATTATCAACCATGGCTTGAAAACTATCTGAAACTAAACCCAAAAGGTCCTTTAGATACTTTACTTATCTAAATACCAAGGCATTTATGGTAGTGAATACTATATTTGTCCACCTATAACTTGAATACTTGGCGAAATCATAAACTATTCGTTAAAAGTAAAATGATATATGAAAACGACTCAAAATACTGTAACCGAATCGATTTCAGTAGTCAACTGATCATTTCGTAATCCGGCATATTTTGTATAGTTCATTAATAAAGCATCCATATAAAATTAATTAAAATGTCCTGTCTTAATTTGCAAACCTTACCCCATGCTTCTTTATAATGTCGTACTGATTGAGATCGAACTAGTTTTGTTTCTGGCAGTGAATGAGTTATCGGATCTGTAGCAACTATGAATAAAAAAGAATAAGTATCATTCATCTATGAAATTCTAATGAAATAAAGTAAAAGACAGGATTTTACAAGACAATTCCCGATAAACAAAATGATTTAAAACCTATCCCAATAGGGACAAAAGTGAAATATGTGTAGTGTTCTAGTGAATGAAAATTATCAAAGGAAAATAATTGATTTACATTTAGAGATATAACTGTACTACTTTTTGATTAGTGAGTAGTATGGTCAAATAACGGCATTTTGGTTTCGCGTTGTAAAAATTCTTCCAGTATCGATAAATTCACGTTATTTCATTTAACAAACTTTTTGTAAAACGAAATATATGCCTTGCAACCTTCTAGTTTGTGACTGCTATATTGATGCTTATAGGATGGTCACCATTATTATCATTTTGCATTTTCTGAGAACCTGGATATTGTCATTTAGATATTGAATAATTAAGTATCCGTAAACAAATATTACAGTAATATATCGAAATCGATACATTTCTCCCAAAAAAATATACAGATCAAACTTCGGATATTATCATGAAATAAGGGGAAGAAAACTATGATAGAGTTTCATATTGCAGATTATTAATTATTATTTTAAGTCGAATTCTTATCACAGATTGAAATTATAGAAATTTAGAGGAGAGTGAATAGTTATCGTGTCCTATTTATGAACCTATAACTTTAAACATGCTGAAATTCACAATGTATTCTGTCTTAAGTCAAGTTAATGTGAATTTTCAGGATATATAAATGTATTTGTATGATTAATAGTTCAATTTTTAAAGATCTTTCAAATTTTGGCGGAATTTAAACCGGGTCTGTTGTGGGATAGTAACTCAATGAATGTGTCTCTCATTTTCGTGGATTGGTTGAAGTTAGACGTTAACACCGTTGGATGCCGGCTCAGTGGTCTAGTGGTTAAAAGTTCGCGCGCGAGACTGATATGTTCTGGGTTCAAATCTCGCGAGGCGGGATCGTGTATGCGCACTATTAAGAAGTCCCATAATAGGATGAAACGGCCGTCCAGTACTTTAAGGTTTTCCATGGTGGTTTAGCTTCAATTGACTCATGATATCAACTATTAAAATTACTACAACCTCCAAATAAAACCCTTTTGATAGGAATAACATATGTTATTCATTTATCTTATGGATTATTATTATTTTTAGCTGTTTTGTCTATTTGAATAAGAGATTATTTTTACACTACTATAGATTCCACAGAAATATATGGTTCATTGTATAAAAGACATTAGATAAATGATTCAGACAACAATAGTATTTGAAGATGACTGAATGATCGTTTCATATAGATTTCATTTATCTGTGATGATTTTAATTTGAACTATTTACTTGAAGAAGTACGAACTTGATTGATAAAGTTGATGAATTTCAATTCATAAGAAGTTTACAAGCATAAACATTATATTAGTCAATTGAAATAATGAAATAAACAAAGAATACTTGAAAGGTAAAGGAAGCACTAATCAGGTATATAATTTGTCGGATTAATGAATGGAAAGAGAGGAAGTCAAAGTGTAAATGGAGTTTTTAGTAGTGAGAAATCAATGATATGGATTTGGTTACTGTTAACCACAAAGCTAAATTTAATTAGTTGAGTGAAAAAAGTGAAAATAAGGATACGAAACAAAATATTTTGTGTTATTTCATATAAGTTTGTTTACATTTTTAGTCTTTTTAATTATTCTTCACATTTGTAGCTTTTTTCATTATCTTAATTGGTAGTATGGTGTGTACTACTGATTTCGACAGATATAAGTAATATGTATCACCAATTGAAATTGGAGTGCCTGGAGGCAGAAGATTTGAGAGAATTGAAGAGAAGAGAACAAAGACAGAGAGTGATTAATATAGAAATGAGAGAACAATTAACTTTGAGACAATTAATGGATATTTTGCAAATGAAGTATTTACTGTATGGTTCTCAGATTTTACCAAGTTGTTGTTTTCAGTGTATTGAAATTTCAAATTTTTAGGTCTGTTTTTTTAAAATTAACTTACGATAAGAATATCTTTTTGAATTTTCTTCGTTACATTGTCTTTCATTATACTGATTTACTGAATTGTTTTCTACATTATATTCGCATCGACCACTGATAGAATCAGACCTTGCTGAAGAAAAACAAAAGACAAATAACAAGATTCATTTTTCAATTACAACTGTCAAAATATCATAGAAAGTATGTGTTTGCACTAGAAAACTTGAGCATAGGCTTTGTCTGATGTCGTTAAAAGCATTCATCAAAGAACCATGAACCTAGACTTCATATTAACTGGGACTCTTCATTAAGATATATTTGAGATGTTGTGAAAAATCATTTTGTCACATCCATTTGAACCATTGACTGATATATCTAAAAATTATAGTTTACACTGATCAGTTCTGTTACATAATTAAGGTCATCAAATTTCAGGAATCTTCAATTACTTGTCACATAAACTGATTATAATTTCTCTGTATTGATTAAAAGAAATGCGTTTTGTATCCTCGTATTCATTGATAACAATTGTACTCATTTATGATTGTTGAATAATAAAACAAAATCAATTTTTATTTATTTATTTATTGAACAGTACATAACTGATCGGAAAAATAGACTCAATCACAGTATGAAATGTTGTTGAACATTGTAAATGAGCAAGTTTTACTATGATCACTCAAATTGATTTTGTGTAAAAAGTACTTAATTGTGAGATTTCTTAGATACTGGTAATTTTAAAACTGTGAATAATCTGTTAATCTTTTCAGATGAACTAAATGAATTCAAAAGGTTTAAATAAAATAGTTCATGAAGAAGGATATTTGTAAGTATATAGTCGTGGAATGTTTAGATTACCAAGATGAAATAAAGAAAACCTATGTACCATTATGCTATATATATTATTCTGTAATATATATATATATATATATATATATATATATATATATATATATATATATATATATATATATATATATATATATATATAATGTTTAAAGTATTTTCGGAAAATTATGGTGGAAACTATGGACTTACAAACATGTATGTTATGATCAATTTTATTTCTTGGCCTACCACCATGTGGTCTTAACATGTCTACTTCCTCACCTAAATCTCCTTGAAGTGTTATTGGATCACGGTCTATCAATTGGGCAATGAAAGAAGAATGAAAATATAGTGTAACATAGAAAAATAAGAATAGTAAATTATAAATGTTTGTCATTAATTTAATCAGCTAAACTAATTGGATGATTTTCTTTAATATTTCACAATGCATTTAATGGAGATACTTAGAAAGACCAAGTAATTAAGTAGAAGTTAACGTTACAATACCGATGGTTCTATTTGTATACATACATCTACTAAATAAAATACTAATTTAATTCAATGTTTTATCTTGTATGATTTCTATGTGATCTCTGATGGTTGCTTGATTATTTCTTCTATGCTTTAAAATATTTCACTTTTGCTTTAATGTTCATTACGATAATTAATTGAGTTTTTCATTGATAATTATGTAGTAGCAAAATCCTGACTATATCTCTGTGTCAATGCTGATGAAGTCAAACAAGGTGTACCTGTAATCTTGAGGGAACTGGTGCTCTCCGGCGGATTCGATCTTGTGTCACCCAGCTTCACAGTCAGAGACGTTAACACTGAGCTATCCGAGCCGCGACCGACCTCCTGTAGCACTGAGATGAGAGCACCAGTGCCAAGTAGTACGAAACCCGGGTCCAGGGTTTCCTGTTGACTACCTCCAACCAACATCTAATCTCAATATATAGTGCCCGCAATGTCGATTCACCTAGACTGGTGGCCACATTGCAACATGATCGATAGCATTCGATCCGCACTAATAAGGACTTGACACACGTGACATTGATCACCATTCAGTGATCAATCAATTGTGATTAAATCTACAGTGTTAAAACTTTGTATATGAATTTTTCGACGACTTAGTTAGATGTTAGATTACTGTCAGTGCTTAGAAAAAAAAATCAACATTGCGGAGAACATAGTAAAAAACACATAGAAAAATGTTTGTAAAACACTCAGAGATTGGAATTAAAATGAATCGAAAATCTCTCTAAAAATTCCAGTTCAAGTTTCTTCAAGGGAAATAATCAAGCATTAACATGTTTGGCCAAAAAAGAAGTATCAACCAAATAAATTGTTATGACTTTCTGGGTTTATTGAATTGTCAATGTTAAGTAAATAGCAAGTAGTTTTAGGATGATTGTTTAAAGTTAGAATACAATTTACTATGAATTTTGTTTAGAGATTAGTTCAGTCCAAGGATAGCTTTTTATAACTAAATGACATATTACAGGATAATTCCTCTGACAGCGTAACTGTAAATATATGTAATCCCTATCGAAATATTGAAGATTTGTGTTAATGATGACAACTAGACGATACTAGGCCAGAATCAAGTGATGCACTTTTGTAAAATTCATCTCATTCGTAATATTGTAAGATCTTCGTCTAATTTCAATCTATTATCAGAAATCATCTTAAAACAATACAGATTTCAATAAAACACCTAAATACATAATAACTGTAAGCTATTTATTAAACGCGCGTAGGAAGAAATTAGGAAGAAGCGCTGAAAGTGGATAGGACACACATTGAGGAAAGCACCCAACTGCGTCACAACACAAGCCTTCACATGGAATCCTCAAGGCCAAAGGAGAAGAGGAAGACCAAAGAACACATTACGCCGGGAAATAGAGACAGACATGAGAAAAATGAACAAGAATTGGATGGAACTAGAAAAAAAGGCCCAGGACAGAGTGTGTTGGAGAATGCTGGTCGGCGGCCTATAATCCATTAGGAGTAATAGGCGTAAGTAAATAATTATTAAACGCCGTCGACATAAATTTCTCGAAATCCTAATCAAGTCAACCAAACTGAATGTGACACATTAAATGATAATATCGATTGAAGATTACATTATAGTATAGAATCGTAATATTCTGTAAACATTAGAACCTAATGTATTTTGTGAAATTTTATCCAGTTTTTTCCTTAACAAGTACAATTATTTTCAAGGTATATATATAGATCCCTTTTTTTATTAAAAAAATCATATACATATGGTTGGTTGAACTAATTCATAGCTTTTCATAGGTATTCATTACCTTGAGTATAATCTTCATGATTATGATTATGATTATTATTATTATCATAATTAACATCACTGTGTTTATTTTCATTTTTGTTATTCAAATGATCCATATAAAAGTACCCATTTGAATAGTTTGTATCTGTAGTATCTAAAAAAGTATTATTATTTATGCTAAGGATAAGTAAAAATAATCAATACTGCGAACATATATAGATATACATGATGAATAAATAAATTGATAATTATGATAATAATCGATTTTAATGTAATTGTTGTTGTCAAGTAAGTATTGATTTGCTCAATCACCTTATTGATTACGAAAGATTTGAATACTAGTTATAATATCTTGTTTTAGACATGTGTTTTAACATTTTATGATCAATATTTTAATGAAGAAAATTCATAATAAAACTTTTCTGTCAATCGTTCTTTATTATGATTATTCATAATGTTCCATTGTTTGTTCATTTTTTTTCAGATTTATTCTCATACTTATTCATAACTAAGAGAACATTTTGTATTTGAAATAAATAACAGAAATTATATATCAGTTTAGGGGTCGTGGAGATTGTTAAGTTTTTGATTGAAGTCATGAGTCAGTGGTTTAGTTGGTTAAGCGCTTGGCACGAGACTGACAGGTCCTGGGTTTGAATCTCGCGGGGTACGGGATCGTGGATGCTCACTGCTGAGGAGTACCATACTATGACGAAACGGCTGTCCAGTACTTCCAGGTTTTCCATGTTCGTCTAGCTTCAATTGACTCATGATTTCAATCAAAAAATTATACACAAGAACTAATGTACTGATTTGAGTATTAGATGATTGGAGGTAGTAGAAAAGTAGCGATCATTATTATGGTGTATCTATTGTTGTGGTTTATGCTACTTATATCGACATGAGTAGTATATAACGTTAGTCAACATTAGAATGTCTGGTAGCAGAAGATCGAGAAGGAAAGAATGGCAACAAAAAGCAATTGATATGAAAATGCAGGAACAATAAAGTATGAGATGATCAACAGACATTTTGTAAATGAAGTATTTACTGTATGATTCTTAGATTTTACTAACATGTTCTGTAATTTTGTCATTAAATACATTTGATTGTACCCACTTGTGTTCTAGTTTACTACATTGTTATGAGTAAATTGATATTTCTCATGTCGTTTGAATTCAATTTATCCAGTTTTAATATTGAGCTATTGAAGCTGTGATCGATTTTGCGGTGAGACTATAATTTATAGACTTTTGAGAGGCGCTTGACTGACTTTAATAGTGTCCACCTGATAACTAGAACCAAGTGAGTGTTATGAACCTGTGTGAGGAATTATAATTATAATTTACAGTTGATGATTAAGCTAAGGAATTAAATTTCTGGTTTTCATCACGAACTAATATAAGTTATAATGCCAAAACTCTATTTATCTAAATGGATGAGTGGATTTCGTGCCGAAATCCGAGACCTGTTATCTTATACGTGATTAGTTCGTCCATTGAAATGTCTTGAACTAATTGTTCAAGACTCGATAATCAATATCTTATTGAATTTTATCTAGCAAGTTGTAATTTGATTAGATAGTTTATTATTTTCTAGAAAATTATAGAAAATCAATTATATTTGTTATAGCTTAATGTCCAAATATAAAATTCATAAACGCCGCCTGGGGCCACTCTGGAGCTTCTGCAGGTCCAAAGCCCGGATAAAGGAGGAGGGTTGGGTATGAGATTGGTGACCCCATCCTGTAGAAAACTAACTCGCTAATAAAAACGCTAACCAGTAAGTAAGTAGGTAAATAAAATTCAAAAGTGAATTAGTTATTTTGTTACAGAGTATATATGGTGATGGCAATCATTTATATGGCTTTATTTGTTACTAAGAAGTAAATGAACTAATTAAGTAGAACAACATAGTCAAACATTGAAAAATATTAAAAATTAAATATTACTTTATATCCATTACATAATACTATTATACACATATGAAAATAAACAGTAGAATACTTTTTTGAACTCACTAACACGATCTTTACATGTGAGCTCTTTAGTAGTATACAAACAATTGTATTCAGTACCCATATCACCTTCCATTCTAATTGGATCACGATGAGGAAAGTCTGTATTAATGTTTGAGAGATATGTAGATAGTATAAATATTAAAAAAAAACACGATAGTATTTAATAATAGAATTGTTATACATTGTTGCACTAATCATTACTTTCAAACCATAGCTTATCTGTTCTATACTACACCAAGGTATTTTTATGACCAATTATTATTAGGACTAGAAAACGTGAATGAAAAACCTAGAAGGTTTTCTATAATGGTCTAGCTATAATGAACTCATGAATCCAACTGTTAGATTACTACAATCCCGTCAAAACCCCCCTTTCTGTCAATGGATTTGACAATTGACTAATGAATAAAGTGAGATTTGAAGTTTAATATCTTTTAAATTTTTTCTCGAGACATGAATTTTCAAATCAAGATTTCTAACTAATTGATCTTTTCTGAAATTTTATGAGTGTAATAATTTCACCGTCATCAATAATTAGATTGGCTATTAAAATGAGTTTCATTATCTGGAAACGAACTTTGTTATCAGAGAACGTACGCTTCAGGTCAACCATTTGAATCCTGATGTTAAGTATTAAAATGTTTTCCATTCGCATAGTTTCCAATGACTTTTTAATAAAGTGTCTTTTAAATGTAATGTAAATGTTTCAACGAATCAATTCAATGTATTCAATGTTGATTTAATGTATTTTTAGAGGTATAGTATGTTTTGAAAAAAGGTGCGCATAATGTCGAGTTACTTATCCTAGTAGCCAAGCTATAACTTGATCGACAGATTTCTATCAGCACTAAATGAATAGGCAACTATGACACTGATCACTACTCGGTGATCAATTAATTGTAAATGTTGACTTCACTTACTTTTCAATGTACTATGGATTAGTAATTTAGGTGTATGTGGACAAATGTTATCTAGTAATAAAACGGAATGGGTTGCGCTAGACCAATATGAGTCCTATCATTTAGTCATGTACAGCGTAATCTCTAAAAGCTAGTATTTATCGGCTTTGTACTTATATAACAATGGGTTGCCGACTAAACAACTAAAATGAGATTGGAATTTCTGGTTGAAAATATTATGATTCAATGGAACGATTGGTTCTAAATCACTTTGTTCAGATATAGTTCTCAGGTGAATTTGTCATCAACTTTATTTACTGTAATATGTGAATCTCGTCTTGATCCCTATAGTTCTACTAATTTGAAACTATCGATAATGCTTTCGAATAAGCAAGGATTGAAGCTAGAATTTAGTCGCTAATTATTATTAGTTTGCATCAGCATGGAAATATTTTGTATGTATTCGAATAACGTGAATGAATTTAAACTCACGAGTAAATGATCCTTTTCAATAATGGTCTCATACCTTAGTAGATACTTATTAAATAAAAGGTCATTGCCGTTTTATATAACTATGTTTATAGAGTTTGATCTAGATTGACATCTTCTTTTAATGATGTCGACTGCAAAGCTACAATGAGGGTATATGACCTGTGACACATTATGTATTATTAGGTTCAACTATACTAAGCCTAAATATTTCTTTCCTATTCATATAGTACTTCATTTATAATGCGAAAAATTAGTTTTTGAATTGATTTGATATGTGTATATATCATTTTTTAAACAGATTATTTCTAACTAAATATTCTTCTCCGATCAAGATTATGTAATGTTTTTTGTGATTTGGAAAGTTTTTACTACTGTTTTGATGAACAATTGTAGCTCCCTAAAAAAAATATCCAAACTTAACATTTGATACTCCATTAATCATAAAAATAGTAGGAATGTAAGAGCAATGGTACTTGTGTAGATAAGTGAGAAGTAGTCTCTAATAGTTTGCAGATGGTAATATCCATCACTTCAAATAATTACATTTTATAGATGGAACTTCATAGCTCAATGAAATATATTTCCAACTACAGGGTGAGATAAACCTGCCAGAACAAAAATGCGCTGTTCATGTGATTGTAGCCATGTCATATAATTCAGGATGGTCAATATTAAAATATTTTAACTTGCTCTTCCTCTTATCGTAAAGCCGTTTGTGTTTCAGTCGAATTGTCACATTTTAATTCGATGAAAATCAATACTCTCTAAATTATATTCTTGCAAGACGGAGATAGAATACTTAAGTCATACTAACGATTTGCTTTACGTGTGAACCACAAAAACATACCTAAGTGTAATAGTTATTAAATTATTTTGTGCAATTTATTTCAGATAGTTTATTTGATAAAAACAGTAAGACCAATATTGAGAGAAATATTGTTGTTTGTTATTCTCCCTTGTTTAGTTTCGGGAACGGTATTTGATAAACCTCTACCAGCCTAGATGCACTATGAGAGAATTCATCAATATACTCTGTAGTTACTAGTCTCAATTTACTTATGGTCCGCGGCTAACGGTGCAGTCCTGGCAGCTTGTGTTCTCCTATTTCGGATTAGTCAGTTGAATATACTTGCATCCGAGTGTTTTTTATTAATAATAATTATTAATGGCATTGTTAGTGTTTATACTAACACACAAAAACAGTATCTAGCACCAACACATTATCCATTAGGCCACTAAATTCAAATGGTTGCTAACTTGTGCAACCAGTATAAAAATGGGTCCTAAGTATTTGCGTTATGATTATATTTATGTTTGGATTTCGATCGTTTTCTGAACTGTTGATCAGACATAATATCATATTTCTGTCTTCTTACACTGAAATGATGCTACAAAAGGGTATAGCTATAAGGTGATTGGTTTGTTTTTTAAACTAACTTTCCAGTTTGTCAAAGAACTAACCATTTTGTATTCAAAAGTTGTTGTTTCATTTGTATAAAACAGTCGTCTCTCCTTAATTAAAATGTTGTGTTTAATTTAGTCTTCCTGATGAAAGGAAGTGAAAGGAAAGTGAACCCAGAATTCTGTAGAATAAAGTAGACGATTTATTTGTTTAGAAGGACTAAAGATAAAGTCTAAAATAATGTTAAGAAACTCTGTTTATGTGAGTTGAATGATCATCTTATCGATCACAGTCATTTATATTTAGTGATATAATCAGTCTTTCATTCACAAGCAATGACAGTTAATGGTTTCCTATAGTTTAATATAAGTGAGAAATTATGTATTTCGTTTTTTGATAAAAACATATATGAATTAAGGCAAACATGTAGACTGTTCTACAGTTCGACGATTATCGGTTCACTATCTTTTAGCGAAATATATAAGCTATTACTCAATATGTAATGTTACGTTTACTTCTGGAAAGTAGGAAATATCGAAAGGTATATTTGATAATTCGTTAATCACGCTTCCTTCATTTCGAATTCCGGCTTAATCAATTTGTTAAAAGTTCTTTTGGTGAGACTATAATTTATGAACGACCTTTGAACGAATCCTATGTGACCTTGATAAATATTAGCCAATCAGAAAACAGTTAGTATTGAGTAGAAAAATACAATACGAAATCAAAGTGGATACACTTATTTTACATGGTTCAAAAAATTGTCAAGGTTAGAAAGAGGTTAATAGGCTCTAAAATCGTAACAAATTAAATAAGGGAAATCATCCATATGGCTCCATAATAGTCGGTTTCTGGAGACACGATAAAGTCGCATAAACGCTTCCAGCCTCGACTAAATAGGTCCATAGATTTTGTGTGCACTGCGGTCATTGTGTCCACAATATGCAACTTGTGGATAGCTATACGATGTACATAAACAAGTCTATGTAGCCATCTGTACGCTTTTCAGTCAACCGTGTATATTGTAGTGCCCGGTAGCAGCCAGTGGTAATGGCGCTTTTATTATCCAGTTGGCAACGACTGTCATAATTTTCCTTAGTCCCAATCTGGGTCGAGCGAGAAAGTTCTATTCTAGCAGACCTCTTCCTCCAACACATATTACAACGAAAGAAACGTCATCACGGTAGTCTGTACAAGGTCCACAAGTCATTTGATTACCTTGATCACAAATAAAGGAACTTTTTATTAGTCCCATTTATTATCATAAATTATCACGCTTTCCCTAAAATTCGTTGTGAACCGATCGTATGTGAGCATCAGGTTCTGAAACTGGCGCCGCGACCTTGAAATCCCTGAAACGCTTCTGATTGGCTCATCCATAAATTATAGTCTAGCCGTTCTTTTATAGCATTTCTTAACTCCAGGGACCTCATATTCAACTGTAATATGAAAATTTAGTTAATCTAACTCAGTGTCATCAAAGCAATTTCGTCATCTCAAATCTAATAAACATCTATTTCTGTTATCGACAGATATGTTTCTTATTGAATAGTCTCAAACTTCTCAGAGGAAACAGTGATATAATCTTGAAAGGACTTGATAAAGGTGAGGATGTTTTCACGCGAGAAATTTAGGACTATTTGTAAGAGGCTTTATTTATACCCAGCATAAGTTTGTTACACCACAAAGGATAGATGTAAAAAAACTACAGACTATAAAACAGCCTACAATTGTCATTTTAACAAATAATTTTCAATGTTTTGAAGTGAAATTAAAATCGGAAGTATACAAATTTATTGAGTCATATTTGGTGAATATAAATACTGATGACTGGTACTTCTTGACTTCCAACAGATTCTACAATTAATGTTGTTTTGTGCAGTTAGCAATTTACAAATTCGATGAGAATCACTAATTAATGAAGTAACTGTTTTAAATCATTAGATTAGTAAAAGGTACCCTTGAATAACTGAATTGAGTGCTTTAACATCTTATATGAATCATCAACAAAAGATATTGACAAATTTTGAGCATTCAAGGTGATATGGGTATCTGTCAAAATTTCCAAACTTACGTCTTCTACGTAAATGACATCCGTTAAGAGGATTCCATTCAGCTTCTAGATCACCCAAACCAGTTACGGGATCACGAGTAATCACTTGAAGGTGAAAAACAAATAATGGAAAAACAATTTAAGTCTAGGATATTGAGTTAAAGTCTGATATAATAATCAGAGATTCCAATGAACAGCATCATTTACTTCAAGTTCAAAAATATCTTCGACTGAGAATAGTCATCAACATTTGGAGTACTAATTATTCTGGATTAATTACTACGAAACTAGAACGGTTAAACATTGAAAATAACAGTGTAGATTATCGTTTATGAATAACTGCTGCATTTGCGATCTATAGTAAAGTGAGTGTTCCGTCACAACCCTGGATACGTTTCTTTAGTCGCTAGCTACTTAGGAAATGTAATTTTTTATTGTTTATTTTAAAAGCCTTCAACGTTTCGTCATTAAGTATGGCTTATTAGGGTTTCTTCAGATAAACAAAATACCATAATAAATTGATGAATTTATTTTAGTGTTCAGCATCGGAACATGTAATGACTGATTCATGTTGCTAATCTACTTATAATGAAGATTGCTAGTATATGGAAACATTATGGGTATTTATTGATAAAACTGTTCTGCTGAATTTACAGATTCATCTATCAGAAGTATTTGAAATCATTTGCATACAGCAGTCATAATTGCCTTGAGTTACTGACAATCAACCAAAAATGAGTAGTGTTTGTTTAACTTGAAAAATCCGGAGAAATTGAATAATGTTCTTGAATAGGTTACCTGTAGTATTAGGAAAATCAATCCACTTGTTTGTTGCTTTTATACTTTCGCGTTCTTGAAGAACCATAACGCTTAACATTTGTATTTTTCCCACTTCTGCCCCTTTGAAATTGGAATGACTACTATTTTTAAACTCATATATATGGGATTGACTTGCAAGCCTTTAATTCCTTACAAAAGTATATTTGGCACAAAAGATATGATCCTTTGAAATTGTACTTTTATTAAGCTACGTAATCAATTTACCTTATATTGTCTCCAAAATGTATTATTTTATTTCTTTCCTCCATTATGCAAGCACTAAACATAATCACATTTTTTAAAGCAAGGTTGTTTTCTACAAAATTAGGATGCTGATCTTATGCGCAACCCTCATCCTTTACCCGGGCTTAGGGCCGGCATTAACCCTAGAAGAGTTTTAAGCATAAAGGATTGCCCAGGACAGAGTTTGATTTAGAATGCTGATGAGCGGCCTATGCTCCTCCACGATGGATGACAGGCATAAGTAAGTAAGTAAACGAAGTCGCACGATGTCAAGCCACGTGGTCAGATGAGTTATCTAGCTTGTTCGTCATTTATTCTCAGTTTTGTAAATTGAGGCTATTTTTGGGCTAATTTATTGTTTTTACTGAAAGTATTAAAAATTATGAATTTCGCTAACCAATAGTTTGATAAAGGCTAATCACTAAGATCAAACTAAATTAAGAAGATTGACATTTTTGTATTACTTACTTACGCCTGTTCCCCTAATCGAGCATAGGCCGCCGACCAGCGTTCTCCAACCCACTCTGTCCTCCGCCTTCTTTTCTAATCCCATCTAATTCTTGTTCATTCTTCTCATGTCTGTCTCTATTTCCCGGCGTAATGTGTTCCTTGGTCTTCCTCTTCTCCTTTGGCCTTGATGATTCCATGTGAGGGCTTGTCTTGTGACGCAGTTGGGTGCTTTCCTCAATGTGTGTCATATCCACTTCCAACGCTTCTTCCTCATTTCTTCCTCCGCTGAGATCTGGTTTGTTCTCTACCTCAGTACGTTGTCGCTAATAGTGTCCGGCCAACGGATCCGAAGTATTTTGCGTAGACAATTGTTAATAAACACCTGTATTTTCTGGATGATGACTTTCGTAGTTTTCCAGGTTTCTGCCCCATACAGTAGAACTGTCTTGACATTTGTATTGAAAATCCTGACTTTGGTGCTGGTTGGCATTTGCTTTGAGTTCCAGATGTTCCTCAGTTATAAATATGCTGCTCTTGCTTTGCCGATCCGCGCCTTCACATCTGCATCAGATCCACCCTGTTCATCAATGATGCTGCCCAGATATGTAAAGGTTTTTACATCTTCCAAATCGTCTCCGTCAATAAATTAAGAAGACATTTTTATATGGTATGATCAATTATTTATTTAGTTATGTGAAATAGCTCAGTCAACATATCAACTGGACGGAGTTACTTTCAAAGTCGATTATTGTTTCGCTGAGGCACAGTGCGAAAGATAACATTGAATTCCTGGGTTCTATGTCATCAGTTCAGTTCTCCAAAATATACATGAACCTTTCTTTGTGGTAGTGTACACATTCTTAATGGTTGTTGTTTAAAACAAAATTAAGACAATTCTTTCCCGTTTTGTTATCATCATTTTAAGTTTATCCCAAAGTAATATCTAGATTAATAAGTGTAATTTTATTTGGAACGATTTTATGGTTGTAGTAAATCTGAAATGATGGTAAAGAGTTTTGTTCTCTGAGCTGAATGCTTTGATCATGAAGCTTTAATTATATTTTGGAACATCATCTATTTATATTGTAGTATAATAGTCTTACAAACCTGAGTGTTTTTGTATCATGCTATATTGTTTCAAGGTTACACGTTTCAGACACTTATCAGTAGGTACTAAACCTATCTTACATATCGATCAGTGATAATTTCCGACGTACCCTTGAAAACCTCCAAAAAATAACAATATTAAATGTAACACAACTACGCTTCTTTTTAGTGACAGTTATTATCTACAATTTAATGCGACTGAATAATTCCTGTTTAGAGTAAAACAGACCAGTAACACATATAAACATTAAGTGAACAATCTGTTTCATTAATCAAACACCTTTTTAAGACAAAATTGTATATTTTTGATTGAGATCATAAACTGATTGATGTTAGAGTAAATGAAATACCATATGAAATGAATTCAATATTGTTTCTAATCATATCACTTTTAATCAATAATAAAACCGTTTGTTTAAAATAATATACAATTTTATCAATATAAGGTTGTGGAGATCATTAAGTTTTTGATTGAGATCATGAATTGATTGATGTTAGACAACCATTGAAAACCCGTAAGAACTGGACAACTATTTCGTCCTATTGTGGGACTCCTCAGTAGTGCGAATCCGCAATCCCTCTCACAGGATTCGAACCCATGGCCTTCAGTTTCTCGTGCGAACGCTTAACCTTTAAACCACTTAGCCGGCACCCAACGGCGTTACTATCTAATCTCAACCAATCCATGAAATTAAGCGACCATCTTCCATTGCACTAGTCATAATCTTAATTAAAAACTTAATAATCTCCACAACCCTATATTGATAAAATTGTATATTATTTTAAATAAACGATTTTATTATTGATTAAAGGTGATACAGTTAGCAACAATATTGAATTCATTACATATGGTATTTCATTTACTCTTACGAAAAGTAAAATTCATTACTCAAAGCAATAGATTATAAAAATGCATTTACCTTCACCAATATTCGAATGATTTATGTTTCAGCTGACTTGAGAAATTTTATAATAATCATTAATGGAAGTAAGCTATTTATTAATATTAGATTGATCAATAGCAGTGTTTAGAGAATACAGTCAATATAATGAAAAATTACATATATATATATGTACTTGTATGTCACATGTGACTAAATCATTTACTCTAATAATAAATCTCTAATATACTCACTCAACTGTCTAATAAGCTCAAGAAATTTTCTCTCTTATGAATATATGTATACATATATATATATATATATATATATATATATATATATATATATATATATATATATTTGTACCCACATGACCGTATATATTGATGTAGGTTTGTTTATATACATTTTTAACATAGTATATTAGCAACAAACATATATACTCAGTAATTTAAGCATCCTATCTAATTTGTGTAAAACAACAACAACAACATACAACTCATTTCATGTTTCCATTAAAGTTCGAAGAAAGTGTTATGCAACTAGTTGGAAATGTAATATGCATGAGTAAGTAACTATAAATAGTATTATAACTGAACGCGTCAAAAAAGAAATGACAGAACAAATATAACTGAAATAATTAAGCATTTATATATATATATATATATATATATATATATATATATATATATATATATATATATATATATATATATATATATATATTACTGATATCGCTTGTATATCATGCGAAAATGTTATAGATATCAAGAAAATGGATTTACATTTTCATAAATAAATATATAAGTAATATGTATTAAACAAATAACTAACTTCGATTTCTTAAACCAGTCTCTGGATTTAAATATGGTAAATATTTTTCTAATAGACGAAGTCCTTCATCTTGATATCGATCATGTGTATACTCACAGTAAACTGAGGAAAACAAAAACGAAAAAAAGAAAGTAGATGCATATACATTGAAATAAAAGGTGTGTACTGATTAAAATAAAGAATTGTAATGGGATATTTTAATTTAATTTTGTCAGCCCTAATAAAGCTGGGTTACGAACAAATATGGAGTAATTTTAATAGTTGAGATTATCAGTCAATTGAAGCTAGATTACCATAGAAAACATGGAAGAAGTGGATGACCGTTTCGTCCCATTGCGGGGCTCCTCATCAGTGCGCATCCACGACCCCTCCTCGTGGGATTCGAACCCAGGACCTCACGGTCTCGCGCACGGACGCTTAACATCTAGACTAATGAGCCGGCATTTAACGGTGTTAATGTTTAAATTCAACTAATCCACGAAATCGAGCAACACATCCTTCATCGCCTTCAGTGAGTATTTCAAGTATTAGCTTTTTATTTAAAACTAGAATTACTGTTTTTTGTGATGGCACCTCGAGTTTTGAGCTACAGTCTATCTGCTTAAATTCATAGTGTTATTTAGTATTATCAAAGCTTAGACAAATCCTGCGGTCCATATTTGGGCGCACGAGCCTATATGTGACAAACGATTCACGTTAAAATTATTATCCCTTGTTTTAACATATACTTCAGTGATGCGCATTCACAATGCTACCCAGACATGAGATCCTCAGGCTTTGCAGTGGGCAGATAGCTGAGTCTTTAAATATCTGGTATTGTGTGACCAGTACTTATTAAGACTATTAATATCTGCCATACGCTTCATATGGTTGGACTTACATGATCATAGCCTCTCGCTAGAACATTCAGAACTACCTCTCAAAGTTAATCACTAATGAGCATATAGTTGTTATTTGTATAATGAGGTTGTGAATATTGTTGAATTTACAGTTCATATACATGTATCATATAAAATTGAGAAGTTTGTGTTGACTAAATCAAGGAATCAAGATTTTTTTTTCCTCATAGTTTGATTGTATGCCAACCGTTGACTAACATCAGGAATGATTTCCTAAGTTCTAATCAGAATTCACAACAGATAAAGTTGACTATTATCAGAAAACAACTTTCAGAACCATTGACAATCAATTTCCGTTGTGTTTATATCGATTAAAGTTGGGTATTTAAATCATATGATTCTATTTCCCTAGTTTTAAACATAAAATCTTCTGATTTTAACTACCTTATGATGAAACATTTCTAAAATAAAAACGTGAACTTGATCATGCACTTCAAAAGAAGAAGTTCAACAAAACAATATTAATACAAAGTAAATTTATTTTTATTTTTTCCACTAAGTGTATAAACTCTGAATGTAATCGTCGAATAGATGACTATATCTTTTGAGACATTGACTTAAAGATAATGTAGATATGATAATATAACTAGAGTTATTTTTCAGCAAAGATGGATAGTGGCTGACAGCAGAATCCACCGCTCGCGTTTCGTCCTATTTAGGACTCGTTAGTACAGGCAAGTAGCTATCAGGACTCAACAGCTAAGAGAAAAATGCGATGGCGTTTGAAGCGAAGTGTACTGGGTTCGGGTCCCAGAGTGAATATGAACTTTGAGATGCAGGTGCATCGAGCTGACGAGTCCCAAATAGGAGGAAACGTGCGTCCTGGATTCCACTGCTAGACACTATCCATATTTGCTAAGAGTTCTTGCGAATTAAGGCAATATCGAGGCAATGCGTACAGGATGCACATAAGCCAACAAGAGACTGATCAATTTCAGTCCTAATCGTCAATCGAAAGATTAAAGTAAACAACACCAAGTGAATTTAGGGTTCTACGATTAAAATCAACTGCAACTATCAAAATGAACAGGTTATCGGTTAACTAATTTCTTAATTTGTTAAAAAATTCATCGTTATTCTTCATAATAACTTATTTGTTAAGTTTATATTCTATAATTTTGATGTTTGACTATAATTTCTTAGAAAAGCTTGGACCAGATTACTAGGCAAAACGTTGGTTTCACTGAGATTTTACAAATACATTGTTCTTTAATTGCGTAGAGCTGTTTTGAAAGCTTTACATTTAAAGTATACTGCTTAAAAACGTCCTCTTAAACCATAAAATCTTTTTCGTCGCCTGAATGAATTCAGCTCTTGTTGTTAAACGACGATAACAGCCACATAGTTGAACCTCAACTTAAATGTTTCGCCTGTAATTTACACAAATTTTAATCTTACTGGGTATTTTTCCCATTGGGGAGATCCAGGAAGCTCCCCCAAAAAATCCAGCAGAGGCTCTGAAAACTCTGAGAAACACCTTATCTAATCAGCATTCAACAGAAGTTATGCCTGAAACATCTAGGAAGTGAAAAGTCACATATCACTTTTCTCACTGGATGAAAACCTATACTGCTACTATGTTTGGTAGCGTCCCAGAATTTTCCGGAAACTCAAGGCCATTTAAATACTATGAAAACCCTAGATTTTCTATACGCAAACGAACCTTTAGATTAAGCGTTCGTTTTATATTTCTTACCTTTACTCTTATGTTCAAGTTGCTGTGTAGATTTAACCTGGGGCTTGCTAGAAGAGCTTAGGAACCGACTTATCACTTCAAAATAATGGATATTTAGCATTGTGTTTATATATTACAGATAATAAAAAAGTAATTTAAATGCTATTAGAAAGTTTTTTTTATAATTTTGCATAACTTTGACAAGTTAGGTGAACAGAATTCTCAAAAAGCTTTTGATTCACTCTAAGACTCCCACATTACATACAAAGAATTCCAGAACAATTCTCGATGTTTGCTCACTTTGATTCCCACATTAATTGAATAGTCTTGAAAATAAATAAAAGACAACTATAACATACAAGATGATGTATTCCACGATTGTCTGGAAATGAGTTTTAGACATTATAGTTTTCTTATAAAAGATTTTGAAACATTGAATACACATGGTAATTAATCAGTCAATTTAGAACAGAAATGTAGTGAGTTGGTCTTCAGCTTTTTCCAGGAAGCTTTTTTTTTAAACACTGAGTAATTAAAAGGAAGTTCTGGGGTTTTTCCTGAATTATAATTTTTTAAAATAAATTTAAGTGTCTTTTAGTATCGATACCAAATAACTGGATATTGCAAATCTTTTTGTTACGAAATTCATACTAAAACATTCTTCATTGAATTTCGGTTGGATTGTAAAGATTCGGAAAATACATAATAAATAAATTTTCACACTGATAAAAATTTTCAGAAGGAGTTTTGTGGAGATTTTAGAAATTTCGCATCCACCACCTAGCCCCCTGCGAGATTCGAATCCAGGACCTACTGGCTTCGCGCTGCCGAGGAGTCCCATACTAGGACGAAACGGCCGTTCAGAGTTTCCAGGTTTTCCATGGTGGTCTAGCTTTAATTGACTCATGATTTTAACCAGAGTAATAAGTATTTATCTTTATTTATCAAGCTTTACAGTTGGTCTTATCTTTGCATTGTTTTGCATAATAAAACTAACGCAAATTGCATTAATTCCATAGTGTTTACATAGCATTCTAAAGAAAAATAAATGGGATGAAAAAAATCATTCAGTATGATGCACAGACTTGAGATATACAGAATATATCTTTTTCAGTTAACTAAATATATAATTAACAATTGTTTATGCAAGATGCTCAATGTCTGTTATCCGGATACCGTCAGAAACAAATTACTGTGAGAGTGAACAAACCAAATTAGGAAAAGATGCTGGAATGGGATAAAAGATACATTATTGAAGTCACGAAACTGTATCACGAAGTAAGCACTGACTTGGGATCCTGAAGGGGAACGAAAAAGAGGAAGACCAAAAATCGCACTGAACTGAGAATTGGAACCAGACATGAAAATGATGAGTAGCAACTGGAAAGGATTGCCATGGACAGAGTTGGATGGAGAATTCCGGTGATTGGCCTATACTCCTCCATGAGGGGTAGCAAGCGTAAGTAAGTAAGTGGATAATATGATTACAAGATTAAATTAGCTTTTTAAGATGTTGATTCATCGTAGAAAACATGTATTCCACTGTCTGCACAGTCGAAAAAGATTGATTACCAATTCATGTAGGCTGTTGGATATTATCTTTAGATACCTTATCAACTTGTTCGCATTAAGATTATGAATATCAACCACATGTTTTAAGTAGTATTTAGCCTAGCAACCTCTTTTTTTTCTTAGATCATAATGGTTCAGAATTTGCAAGAAAAAACAACGTATCTTTCCAACGAAAACACTCATACTAAAAAAAAGAAATTAAAAACGTGTTCAATTCGTAGTTTATTGTGTACTAAACGTTTTCTCTTCATTTCTTTAATCATCTGATAAATTACTTTCTAAATAGACTTTGTTTTAGATTTTCAAAGCGTCTAAATTAAAGCATAGGGTTTCATATTTTTAATCAATGGAGTAGTATAAAGAGATCACGGACATAGCAACTAAAATAAAACAATACTCATCCATTAAACGAAATTGAATTGAATGAACTATTGAACACTAGAATTTGTATTGTTATATTATATTGAATTACGAATCAATAAATGAAATTGTTTTTCAATCGAGTATTGAATAGGGAAATTAATTGTTTAGATAATAGGGAGTTATTGATAACGATTTTTATTCCTGATATTTAGAACAGTCAAGTTATACAGTGCAAAATGTTTTTTGAAATTATAAGCTTCTTATGTGTTTCACAAACCATTGAGGGATTTTAATAGTCGAATTCATAGGTCAATTCGAGAATTACCTCCCGAAGCTAGTCCCCAGTGAGCATGTGAAATCCAATTCGTATCGGATGTGAGACAGTTATTCACCTCACGCAATGGATAGAGGGTTGCGCGAGATCATGGATCGATTAAAGTTAAACATTAATACAAATGGATGCCGCTTCAGTGGTTTAGAATTTAGGCGATCACGCGCGAGACCGAATGTCCTGAGTTCGAGTTCTGCTTGCGGGATTGAGCACTGTTGAAGAGTCTTGTATTAGGACGAAACGGCCATACAGTGCTTTCAAGTTTCCAGTGGTGGCCTAGCTTAGATTGACTCACAAAGTCGACAATTAAAATTACTACAATTTACACAAATCCTCAGTATGACGTTTACGTATTTGTTAAATAAGACTGTTATCTAACAAAGGTTGAACTTTATTGATGTATAGTATAATCTAATTTCGGTTGTCTAGGTACAATTTAATAACATTTCTTGATGCAAATTTTGTATAATTTGACATGAGGAAAATGTTGCTCTCCATTTCTAGCGACACTTCTACATGCATTGTGATATTAAAAGGCTTTTAACATAAACTTATAAAACGTCGCCTTAAAGACTTTGTTTAACTAACAAGATCGTTGTAATAGATGAGGATACGGAAATTAAGAATAAATAACACATCTCTTGGACTAAATAGAATCTAATTTGGTAGTTTAATAACCTATTATTACTTTACAATGTGGTTTTAAGTTGTGAGTAGTTGAATGAATGACAGATTTTAATGATTCAATCTTTCTTTATATTAAAAGAAAGTGAATCTTGACTGAGATCTGTTTGTATCTTAAATTTAAGTTATTCAGTGGTGTAAATATTCATCTATTTTGTGGTGTGTAGTGTTTTACCGATATTAATATTTTACACAATAGTTCAAACACAGAAAAAGACTAAGTAGAAAGACCTTATTATATAAATTTGTTTTAAAAAAATTGTAGGTTGTATACACTGCAGATTGATCTCATTTGGTGCACCATTTAAAACTAGGGAGCATTAAACAATAGCCTTGTCCTACTATAGGATCATTCAACGGTATACATACATTACTCACTCGAGTATTAAACCTATGTGATGAACACGGACTAAAGATTAAACCAATCTTCATAAAATCCTTTCAGTAAAGCTATTCATTGAGATGGTCGAGAAGATTTGTAGCTCAGGTGGATGATTTTGATGGAATTTTGTTCTCTGAGCTGGATGATTTGATCATGGAGCTTTCATCGTTCTTCTGAACGACATTATCAGCCCAAACTTCAAGTAGAATCTATTCATTATTATGTCAATAAACATGTAAATATTCAACTTCTTAACATATCAAATTTTCAATAATAATATAAAATAAAATGGAAACTTGACTAATCAAAACAATAAAATCAAAGGAGAGAAATAAAATATTGATCGATGTCATCTCATAGTTACAGACTAAGAAAAAAACATTACTTAACAATTATTGAATCTTGAACCTGATTCATTTTATTCACTGTCCCAGTTGACACACTTAACTGCTCTACAAGATATCTGCAAACGTATTACTCTACAGTGATACTAATCCAATTTATAAATAAATAAGTAAACTCTGTTTGAATCCTGTCAATCTATTAGTCTTAATAATAATAATTACTTCTGTAAAAAAATATTTCAATTATCCTTTAATAAAATATCATACACTGGAGAGACAGAGATCGAACTCAATTTTAACTAAATGTCATAGAAAAAAACTCATTTGTTTACCACTGTACGCAATCATGTCTATGTTCATTATCAGAAGTGGCTTTGTGGATATTATGGTAATTTTAATGGTTGAGATCATTAGTCGACAGAAGCTAGACAACCACAGAAAACATGGAAGCAGTGGACGGCCAACTCGTCCTAATTTGCGACTCCTAGGCAGTGTGCACTCAAGATCCCGACTCGCGAGATTCGAACCCAGGACCTATCGGTCCCACGCGTGAATGCTCAACCTCTATACCACTGAGCCGGTTGGCATCCAAAGGTGTTAATGTCTGACTTCAACTAATCCACGAAACTGAGCCACCGTTCTCCTTTGTCTTCAGTGAGTTACTATCTCACAACAGACTCGGTTGAACTCCATTGGTCACTGTTATTCACTAGAACTCCAGGAAATATCTCTTGAAGCCAGTCACTAGTAGGGAGTCCCATACTAGGACAAAACGGCCGTCCAGTGATTCCAAATTTTCCATAATGTTCTAGCTTCGATTAACTCATGAATTCAACTATAAAATATCTATATTTGTTGTTTACTGATCACAGGAAGAAGTATATGAAAAATTGGATTATTATTGTTGTGAATATTTATCTATAAATGTAATAATACAATTTGTAACTTACTATTCGCTGGTATACAAGCCATTTTATTCGATTTATTCATAGACATTTTACTGATTTTGTTTTATTATTAAAATTGAAATCTGATCTTGAGTTTGATTGTTTGTTTATTTTGATGATGATGATAATGAACCAAATTATCAATAATTAATCAATGTCCAATATATTGAAATAGATTGAATATTGAAAGTGAAATTCTCCATATTTAACAAAGAAAAAGGAAACATTAAACTGTTATTTATTTATTTTTTTAAAATCAGTAACTTCAAAAGTAAACAAGGAAATTAGTTTGTTTAAATGAAATAAATAGTTCAATGGTGTTAAAATTTAAATTATCCACGAAAAAAAATAATGAAGAAAATGTTAGTTTATGAATTAAACTTGAGTGTATTGAAGAAAAAGAAGAAGAAAGCAAAACAGTAGTTGACGTTAGTAAATAAAAGTAAATTTGTAAACTGAAGTACTTCTCAATTAGTTCCAATCTTGTACACATGTATGAATGAGTCTATCTATTTTGTAAGTACATGTATGTCTGTCTATGTGTATATCGAACATGAACACTGAACCAATTAGTTTCTTTCATATACTTTTTTTATTATTTGTATAACATATATCATTAAACCACATGATTTAGATTAGAAGATTTTTCTCATTTCAATATTTTATTACACTTTTAGTGCTTCTATTGATACCTTTTTATTGAATTATATGTCAGCACATATATACATATTGAGTTTTACACGATTTCTGCATAGGCACACATGCATTTCTACACAAGTGAAACCGTACATATGTACACACACTCACCCACTCATTCACAAGTTGAACACATGTAAACAAGTCACATGATTATGAGATATTAATTGAATATTTCTGTACTCACCTTATTGTTTTTCTTTTTAATAAGGGCGTCAACTGTTCATAATATTAACCGAAGTCTACCTGACTACTGCCATTATTTTTTGTCGTTATTACTGTTACTACGACTAATACTAATATACTAATACTCTTATTCTATGCTCATGTCTTTACCTTATTTCAATCATTACTAATGGATTTTAATGAGATTTGGAATTTCATATTTACGTATTAAAACGCAACCAAACAAACACGCATATGCACAAGGAAAGCGGTGTCCTTTTAATTAGTTCACTGAAATTTATAAGTTCCATAACGCAAAATACGATAGTAATAAAAAGTACATTTATGGGTTGATATTTTATGTAGCAAATTGATATACATAATGTATATTAAGTTGAGAGAAAATACTGAGCCATAGTATAATAAATTATTATCATCACATTAGAAACTATTAATATTCGATTGTTTCGTAGTGGAAAAACTGTGATTTTAACTACTGGTGTGGTGTGTGCTACTGATGTCGACAGATAGAAGTAATATGTATCACCAATCGAAAGTGAAATACCTGGAAGCAGAAGGTTGGGAAAAGAAGAAAAGAGAACAAAGACAGAGAGTGATTGATATAGAAATGAAGGGACAACAATGTCTGAGACAGTTGATAGACATTTTGCAAATGAATTATTTACTGTATGATTCTCAGATTTTACTAAGAGATTCTGTAATTTTGTACTTAAATATACTTGGTTGACTTACCGGTGATGTCGTTCTCTACGATGAATAGTAACATTTATATAACCGACACGACTTGTTATCATCTGCGTAGCTGATCAAAATTTATGACCCAAAGCTGACCACATGAAATTTATGATATTTTCATTATATCAGAGAAATTAGTTTTCTTTCAAATAACTAGTGAAATAAACTTTCATGTAATTAGATTTACGGTGTGTGTAGGGTGACCATATTATGCACTTGAGCAAATTTAATTTGGTAAAACTCAATTTCGCAATAAAACCTGTTGCTTTTACATTAAGTTATTAGTCTTAACAATATGTTAAGTGGTTAGAAGCAATCTACATAAAACATCTAACCAAGGTTTCATGGTATTTGGTATTTGTATATGAGGTGTACTTGTAATCGTGAATGGAACCGTGCTTCATGTGGTATTTAAAATCACATCACCTAGCTTTACACTGTAAAGCTTTTCCATTGAGCTACTTACTGACGTAGATTTCGTCCACCAGTTATCATAAGATTAGGGGTGTTTTTACCGACAAGTACAAAATAGCAGGAAACATTGGTCCAAGGATTCCTGTCAACTATCTTTGACCACCAAATTTCTCAACATGGGGACAAGATGTTTAGTTACTTAGACTAGTGACTTCATACAAACTTGATCGATAACATTCATCAGAATCAAAGGAATAGACAAATACGATATTGGTTATAAATCAGTTATCAATTAGTTGGTCTAACTAACGGAATTTCAAACTTATTAATGAGGAGAATCAATTTCAACAGATTGTTTTACTAAATAGGCTAATGATCCAATAATACAGTTAATAAAGCTCACAAATATAACATTTCAAAATGTATTTTCATACTCTGGAATTCGGAAGAATCTTAAATTGTTATGGATAAAATTTAGAGGAGTTTTATAAACAAACAAACATTACTTAAATTGTCAGCTCTCATCGGCATGATATCTTTCATTAATAAAACTACTTATCTCATTAATGTATTTAGCTTTTGAGTGAAGTCATCATCTGAGATCGTCTTATTGAATCATTAGATCAATTCCTAAAGGGGATAAAATAGATGTATGAATGAATAATGCATCTTGTAAATGTAAGACATACTTTTATACAGTATGCGAAACTTAATGAAAGAATCCATTTCAAACTTTCAGAAACCTAAAATTTCAATCTTATAGCCTGTGTGATTTCAAGCTGTGTTCTATAATCCACAGGACACGAACATTTTCAAAGTCTTCAATCTACAAAATTGATTACTGCATGACTTATATTTAACGACAACTGGCTTACTACCTCGTATAAACGTTTACTGTTATGCTACCATAAAAAAACTTATGTATACATTGAATGATACTAAATTATATCTTAAATCAATCTCAGATGTAAGTTGATTCACAGTGTGTTAACGTTAAGCTTTAATAAATTGAGAAAAATATCTTCGTAAGCAATGATGGACAGTGGAATCCAGTATACGCGTTTAGTCCTATATGGGACTCGTCAGCTGGATGCACCTGAATCTCAGAGTTGATGTTCACTCTGGGATTCAAGCCCATTACCATTCTTTTCAAACGCCATCGCTTTATCCACTTAGCTAGTGAGTCCTGATAGCCATTTGCTTGTGCAATAGGGTGAATTTCAATTCATTTGGTATTATTTGGCTTGTATCTTCCCATTGAGGTTTAAGACTGCAATTGATCAGTCTGTTATCGGCATATCCATCATTGCTTACAAAAAACTTGTGAATTAAGGCAATATCGAGGCATATGTGCATACTGCACAGACTGATCGCTCGCAGTCTTAGACCTCAATGGAAACATACAAGCCAAATAATACCAAGTGAATTAAAATATCTTAGTGTCATCAAAAACTTCTTCTTGGAATGAAGATATATTTATGTGTAGTATTGAATACGTTCAAAGATATATCACATAATTTCCAAGTAATTCAAGTAAACCTTTCAAAATCTTTAAAACAGTTTTATATACATTTAGAACTGATGAATTTATTCAGATTAATTTTTTAAGAATCAATACCTTTCAGTTTATCTCAATTTTTAACTAGATTTTATATTATGAGTGATACCCTGTCATTTTTATTTCAAAGATGTGATCTTTTCAAATATATGAAGAATCTTGCACTATATTAACAAAAAATAGTCTTCTAATTTGTTCATTGAAGTGTTTTTGTTTCATCATGAAGAATATGTACACATAGTAGATGGATTGACATTTTACAGAACAAGATAAAGTACATAAATCAAGGTGTGAGAATATACTATTCTATGGTATGATAAATTTCTAACATCTAAACAAACAATATCGATAATCTACTGGACTGTATGTTCTTAGTTTACAGAACTATTTTTTAATGAGACTTAATGATAGGAATTATATTCAAACCTGTGGAGCTCTAATGATCGATCATTTTTGTCAAACTTAACTATAATTTATATAATTTTACTTAGGAAGACTTCAAATTAAGGGTTGCCAATATAGTTTTGTCTCTGGAAAAATCATAAAATGTCTGTTACTTCTTTTAATCAGGTGATATTACATTTACAGAATATTATTTTATTCAATATATATATATATATATATATATATATATATATATATATTATCAGAAGGGATTTGGTGGATATTATGGAAATTTTAATGGTTGAGATCATGAATCATTTGAAGCTAGACCACCATGGAAAACCTGGAAGCACTGGACGGCCGTCGCGTCCAATTGTGTGACTTCTCTTTTCTTCCCTCCTCAAGAGAAGTCTCAAAATAGGACGCAACGGCCGTCCATGCTTCTAGGTTTTCCATGGTGGTCTATTTATTTATTATTTTATTTATTTATTTGAACACATAAATATTGGTACAAGAGTGAGCCACACAAAACAATAAGAATTTTAAGAGAAGGAAAAAGAAAAAAGGTAAGGAGCGTAAAAAAAGAAAAGAGAACAATAACGAAGAGATTGATGTAAGGTGGTGTAATAATAATGGCAAAAATGGGGAAACGAAAAGGAAAAATCAGAAGAAATCTTTCAGTTAAGGAGGATACAACCACTCTTTACGAAAAAAATAAAAGAGGGTTACAGCAGGATCGCCACTGGCTTCTATTCTGAGCCATATCTGATAACGTCTCTAGCCACTGTGTAGCACTATCTCTCGGTTCAACCGGATAGTGACTCGAGAACGTTTAGATAGAGTCGAATTTCCACCATAGACGAGCTGCTGTATAAGTCAAAAAAATAAGTATAGACAGAGTAGGAATAAAAGAGGGCGAATAATCACGTAGTAAATGATAATATTAATAATAATAACAACAATAATAATAATAATAATAATAATAATAATAATTTGAATCATTTGATTGTTAGTCAAAGCGAGAAAAGTAGTTTCCATAAATGTACACACTTCATCATTTGTGTGTGGTCTGTGATACTGCCCGGGTGCCCAGACCGAAGCAGGTAGTTATCTTAGGGAGCCACACCCCGAGCCTTTGACCTAAAGGTCTAACTCAAAAGGCAGTGGAGCATCGTAAGGAGATGCGGTCCCATGGTAGCCAGTGACCGAAAATTGGTTCATACGCCATTTGTTCCCTCAGGATACTGGAGCCCATGTGCACCATTGGTTTGGAATCCAGTTAAAGCGCCGGATATTCGCTCTTCATCCTCTCAATTTCGTAAACAACAGTGGTGCCACGAGAAGGCAGTGAGTAGGACTTCCCTGGCAGAGGCTGTATACGCGTGGCCGTGTGAGAGTATTTCGAGAGGAAGGGCGAACCCATCCCGCTCTCGGCCATACCAGGGCATTTGGGGGCTTCAACTGACTCATGATCTCAGCTATTA